CTTCCACCAGCATGGTGGCATGAGGTTACGTGTGAACCACCTACTTTGATCTCAAATTTACCACCACAAATAAAGAGTTTTGTACGCTCAAGAAATTTTATCTACATTGTCTTTATCTACAGACTAAGTAATACTTGACTTTACATTTGACAAAAATTAAGTATCTTATTTTTATGCTTCGTCAGAAGGAAAATTACAATTTATGCCCAGCATTAAGTGGAGCAAATGTTCATTTAGAGAAGTCTTCTTGCGTCAAATACCTTGGTGAGTATATCGACTGTCACCTTACTTGGCGTGACGGCATGTTAACTACGTATGTGGTAAAATGAGCAAAAATTTAAATAAAGTGGTTAAGTTAAAAGCGTTGTTTCAGAAGAAACACTTCTTAGTTTGTATCATTCTCGTATATATCCCTACCCTACTTATGCTTGTACTCTATGAGGAAATAATTATAATGCTTCACCGTCTCAAATCATAAAATTACAAAACAAAGCAGTTCGTATTACAAATGATGTTCCTTTAATAGAATCAGTAATTCCACACTACATATCCCTAAGCCTTTTCAAATTTCCTGATATTGTTAAAATGAACAAATGCATGCTTTTTTTATGATTACTTCCACAATGAAAAGTTTCCTAATATACCTGTTTCACCCGGGGGGTACTCGATATATTCCTGGGTGGGGAGGTGCGGCGCGGCCCCTCATACCCTGACCCTATTTAAGACAAATATCGCTGATTTACCTACCCTGTTTAGGACAGAATTCTGATTTTTGATACCCTGTTTAAGACATTTAATGTGCCTGGTATCAATGCCAAAATCAACGGAATTCAATATTAATTAAAATTAAAGCTTGTAAAAATTTTGCTGTTTATTTTTCAAGAAAAGATATCCTGTTTAAGACAAAAATTGATAAATCGATACCCTGATTAAGACAAAAAATGATAAATTCGATACCCTGTTTAAGACAAAAATCTCGAAAACCATACCCTGGCTGGCCGCACGTCCCTATTAAGCCCTTATAAGGGAGTACCCCTCCCCCCCGGGCTGTTTCACTAGTATCTGAGCTACATGGCTACAATACCCGCAGTGCATCATCTAATCCAGTAGTCATACCCTCATTTCGAACTAATCTCAGGAGATTCTGCACGAGCGTTATTTGTAGATTCTTTTAGAATAGTATTCTGCAATCAATTAGAGACAAACCATCTAAAAAGATGTTTAGAAAAGTACTTTTACGCTGGTACCTCAATTCTAATGAAACATCATCTCTTTGACAATTTTCAGAGCTATTTTCATAACTTTCCCTTTACTTTTTTAACCAAAAAATTACAAGTTTTTTTTTTTTTTTTTTGTTATACAGGCGTAATTTAAGGGGCACAATATTAGTTTAACTAGACGCGCCCCTCTCCTCTCCTTCTTATGGACAATGTGACTTAATTCAAGTGGTTTAATTTTGTATCGAACGTTTCCTTTTCTCAAAAATTTTAGATCTTTTACTTTACTTTTCATCTTGTATCTAATTCTGCTACGGTTTTGGAGAAATAAATATGATCAGAATTGAAATATGTTTGAGCAACGATTCTAAAAGCGTTGTTTGTTTCTATAACGAACGTACCCAGCGGGAATATAATCGATACCTACCCAACACGCTAGTAGATTGGCTAGCAAATTACTGTAATTTTGTCCTAAACTGGCCCCGCTGGTTGGGCTATCCTTCAATTTTTCAACAGAAGATGGAAAAAGTGGCCTACCTAATACAAAACTTTCCTACAGCTCTGAACATATAAGACCTGGTAGACACACAGATGAATGGCTCTGTTGAAATGTTTTATAGATGGGTGAATTGAGGTGGGAAACTTTGAGAAACTTAACATGTTTTCATTTTAAAAAAATAAAGAGCATTAACTTTCAAAAGATTCAGACGAAAATATAGCTAAATAGCGAGCAAAAAAAAAGACCTAATTTATCTATGAAAGAGAAATCATATAGAGGGCAAAGCAGATGAACTAAAACTGATCTAAACAGACCTAGCGGTAATCAGCCCCAAAATCTCACATGATGCATAGGAACAATCGTTGGGGTGAAAAACGACAATGTTGTTCAGATTTTTAAGTTGAGAGTTCAGTTGAGCCATTTATTCCCTACAAATCCTTATATTTTGTCCATTGTGCAACGTAAACATGTTTGCATATTTACGAAGGTTCAATGTGTCAGCTTGGGGTATCTGTGGATTGAGCAACACATTCCTCTCACTGAAATTCTACAACTCTGTTTCTATTTCGTGTACTTTCTTTACAAGTTGCGAGTAAGTGATAACGTGCACATTACAATATCATTATAGAAGAACAAGAAATACTGTAGATTGCGTTACAAATCTTACAAGTCTCTACTCTGTGGTTGTTCAGTTTTGTCAGAAGAAGCTAGACCATTGGTTTTTTTCAGAAGACATGCAGTTTGGTAAGGAGGATTTATTGGTTCCTGGATGGGTGACAGTGTTTGATATTCTTTCCCTCCAATGGAAGTCGTAAGTGGATATGTTTGGTCTGAATCATAACCACTTAGGTCACCACAGGCCATGAAAGGAACAACAATCCTGTTTACTCCTTCAAGACTGTAAATTGAAAATAATGTCACTTGTATAAGACAAGGATACTCAATATCATCTTGTATTGTTGTTTAAAATTCAAAATATCTTTGCAGATGGCAGATATCAAATTTTGATACCCAGAATGTTAGTTCAGTGACCCCTTTTTTATTTTTGCATTATATTGAAATATGAAAATGAGAATTTTTCTTTGCACTGGAAAAATCATGGCCATAAACTTGCTTTAAGATGAAACTGCCAAAAGTACGGTGGCTCTTAAATGACCATGAGACAGTGCCTGCCTTGAGGTTATTATGAATCATACCTTGTTTCTTCAACTTAATTCTTTTCCCTGGAAGTTACAAACTTTCCCTAGAAATGTATTCCTTCTAGGAAACCGCACAAGCCTACTTTTATAATATGAGCTGAAATTAATTTCTTAAACACAAAGGCGCGCTATATAAGGAAGTCTTCCCTGGGAAGACCTAGGCTCATTTGTCACTCACTGTTGATGTGTGCGGGTCAAATTTAAATGCTGATAGACAAACAAAAGGAGCTAATGAGATATCTATTGTTTACTTCCACCAGCATGGTGGCATGAGGTTACGTGTGAACCACCTACTTTGATCTCAAATTTACCACCACAAATAAAGACAGTTTCCATTGGAGAAAGGAAATACAAATCTCAAAAATTCTTGTATTGTGATGAAGACATAAAACAATTTTGAGGAATCCGCCCGCCGTTCACTGCTTTGGAGTAGCTGTAGCTCAAGCTGACTTGACTCTAAGAGTTCTACATCACACGACAGTTGATTGACAAATGGTCCAGTGGGACCTAAGGCTCCTTTTATAGCACCCCTTTGTGTTTAAGCACTGGTTTTGACAACTGACAACACATCAAGTTGGTTGCCTTCTCTAGACTAGCCTTTTTAATCACAACTTCCAACAATCATTTTTCAGTAACATAGACTGATGACCACATACAGGGCTCAACAAAAATGGTAGCCAACTAGCCATAGACGAGTAGAAATTCAGTTTTGGCTGGTGGTTTTCGATTTCCACTAGCCAGTTTGGCTAGCAAAAAACTGAAATTGACCGAACTAGTTCCTCTCTTTCTAGTCAGTAGGCTGGTAAGTTGAAAAGTTAGTGTCAAGCCCTGTACATAGTCACAGTTTTGTGTTCTAGGGTTTGAGGAAGACGTCTGGTCTAAAAGCAGTAACTCATTTTCACCACTTGCATGTCACAAAATCACCTCACTTCATTTTAACTGTGTTTCAGTATTAATCATTCCACCACAAGAATTTCGGTAGAGAAGGAGTTGATAGTCCAAAAATTTGTTTGTCCTTGTTCATTTTTCGGTAGACATTTATTGGGAATGAAACTTTTGAATAGGTAGATATACAAAAATGACAGGGTAGGGGGGGTGGCATTGTAATTTTTGGTTAGCTATTTTTTAGATCGGTTGTTCATTTTTGTGCCAAAAAAACTTCAGTCTATCAGTTTTGGTATTCTTTGAAGTTTGCAGATTTTTCCATTTTTTAGCATATGGTTTTCAGTTTTCTTCTAAAATACTAACAGGTTTTTGGATTTAGTTTTGGATGTGGTTTTTGTTTTTTCTTATTTCGGTTCCAGATTCTCTCCACTGATCTTGAATAGCTGCAAAACCTCTCTACGCTCATCTTAATCATGTCACCACTGCATCGGATAGGGTTTTGATAACTGGGAAGTGAAAATTTATCAGTTTTGATGGTTTTGCAAATGCTCTTCAGTTTTGATCAAATTCTTCTTGTGGTTTGACAGTTTTGGATGATTTTTTCTCTGTTTTTGTGGTTCCCAATAGACCCAATGCCTTCCCCCTAAAAAAACTAACAAGCACCAACCTTTTGAACTGGTTTGGGTCAACAAGGAGAGGATTGCACATTGTCGGCACATAACCAGCTGGAGGAGAATAATTCTGACACACGACAAAAGATTCAATGCTTGAATTTCGACTGCTTCGTGGCTTACATATTGTTACAGTAGAGAAGAACACCTTTAACTGGTTGTAAAGAATATCAACATCTTTTCCTCTGAAAATTTTTGCCACAAAAACTCCCCCATTCTTGAGTAGATGAGTGGTAATGTTGAGTGCAGCAATTAAGAGCTGTCCTTGAATGTACTCATCAATATCATGGAGACCAGTAACATCTGGAGCGCCATCAGATATCACCAAGTCAGCTTCCTCTCCTTCAAAGTGGCTGATTATCTCATGAGCAGTTGAAATCTAGACCAGTATTAAGATGTAAAGAATATTACATGAAGGTTCATGTAGAAATGTCTGCATTTCAATGAAAAAATTTGCACAAATTTTTGATACATCAAAAAATGTTATCACAATAATATCCACATTGACTCATTACTGTTTTAAAATACTAGAATGAGCAGGCTGAATTAATCAGTTAAACTCTTCCCTTTCAGTCAAGCTGGTATTATAGAGAGTGCTTAAAACCTTTATCTTTCTTATAAATAAGAAATAAAATTTAAAAAACTATCCCAATACAAAATTTTCATCTATCACTGGTATTTTCTGTTGTCCCTTAAGAAAAATTCATTTTAGGTCCATAAAAAAGCATTACCTTTCAGTGACACTAAATCTTATGGAAGAAGGCAAAAGGCTCATATTGTAAAAACCAAATGATGGTCCCAAAGGTGTCTGCTATTAAGGAAGTCTATTCTACATGTAGGTGGACGTTTTTTTCTGATCCAACAAAACCTTTTATTTGTGTTCATGATGGAGACCTTTCAATCACTAAGTCCCACAAAATATATTAGACTCTTACTAGATTAGTTCCTTTCCCCTTTATCAATGAAGAGTTTTTAAAAGGACAATACTGAATTTTCCCAAAGTTGTTTGAAAAGTTTTCTACCAATGGGGTATGCTTTTGTTAGTGTCACAAAGAAAAAGATTGTGGTTTTCATCACTGTAAAAATTCCAAAAATGAAGTAATATTCTCTGCCTAACAATGTACTCCTTTCTAAAGTTGATTATATCATTAGTTCTGAACTCCTAATGAATAGCTCATCAGGAAAAAAAGATTAACTGGACAAGAGTCACCTAATGTAACACCCTCCAGCTGACTGGCTGTGTTTTTTATAACTGTTTAAAACCAGCAAATCATAGCAGTGTACAATGTGACACAAGGTGAAACTTATCCAATCAACCCTTTTGTCCAATGAAGATTAACAGTCTGCAGTTGAAAACTCATGACCCAAACCAGAGGCAACCACATTGTGAGACAAACCATACTTGATTTCAAGCTTATGCTGTGTATGCAGTGATCATGGTCTTATAAACATGGTTTAGTTGTTCAGACGATTTAACCCACTTTGAAGTGTGCTTGAGGTGGGGTAAATTTAGATATCCAAATGTAAAAAATCCATGTTATCTCTTCTTGTTATTTGCTCAGATCTTATGTTAAGTTTAACCAAGTGCAAATTCCAGTTACTTTAAAGTGTACCCCAGTATAGACTCACTGCTGTCTTTTCTTTTGTTTAAGAAAGTTATTTTGTAACAAAACTTTACTATGCCAGTATGATCTACAAGCCAGAAAAGCCTTGCTTCCGTTTTAAAGATTTGAATGAGGTGAACTAAACATCAATCCAGGCTAACCAAAAAACAATACAATGTACTATAAGGTTGTAGTTGTAGCAAGTATGATAAATATTGTAAGAAATAGACAACTTTTTTGAGAGACAAGTTTCAATGTACTATCCTCAGAAAAAGTCTCATTCCAAATTCAATTGTTTGTGAAAGTTTGTAATCTACAGGAATCTAAGGGCAAATCTGCTGATTCTCAATCCTTTTAGACCATGCCCAAAATAGGATTATTTTTTTCTTGTTTTTCGCTTAGTACAGATGATTAACGTACTATTAAAATTAAGCCGATTTGATCTGACTTGTTTAAGTTCTGCTGTTCTTGCCCATTATAAACCTGAAAATTCTATCTTTCTTTTATTTGTTTATCTACATCTATGCAAAGGAATTATAAATTTAGGAAATAATCGGTTGAAAAAGAAGATAAAACAAATAGGTCTTACGGCTGAGTAATAAACCTTCCAAAGCCGTGATGAGTTGTCCGTACCGAGTACTAAGGTACCAACGTACTAAGCAAATTCAGAACAAGCTGTGATGAGTTGTCCGTACTGAGTACTAACATACTAACGTACTAAGAAAATTCAGAACAAGCCGTGATGAGTTCTCTGTAGCAAGTACTAACGTACTAACGTACTAACGTACTAAGCAAATTCAGAACAAGCCGTGATGAGTTGTCTGTAGCGAGTACTAAGGTACTAACGTACTAACGTATTAACGTATTAAGCAAATTCAGAACAAGCCGTGATGAGTTGTCTGTAGGCGATTGAGAGTTGTAGTTAGTACGCTAGTACGTAGGTATTCATGCTTGCTGGAGAGGTTTAATTAGTACGCTAGTACGTAGGTATTCATGCTTCGAGAGGTTTACTTAGTACGCTAGTACGTAGGTATTCCTGCTCGTTCGAGAATTGTAGTTAGTACGCTAGTACGTAGGTATTCATGCTCGCTCGAGAGGTGTAGTTAGTACGCTAGTATGCTAGTATGTAGGTATTCATGCTTGCTCGCTCGAGAGCTGTAGTTAGTATGCTAGTACGTAGGTATTCCTGCTCGCTCGAGAGGTTTAGTTAGTACGCTAGTACGTAGGTATTTATGCTTGCTCGAGAGGTTTACTTAGTATGCTAGTACGTAGGTATTCCTGTTCGTTCGAGAGTTGCAGTTAATACGCTAGTACGCTAGTACGTAGGTATTCATGCTTGCTCGCTCGAGAACTGTAGTTAGTACGCTGGTACATAGGTATTCCTGCTCGTTCGAGAGTTGTAGTTAGTACGCTAGTACGTAGGTATTCATGCTTGCTCGCTCGAGAGCTGTAGTTAGTACGCTAGTACGTAGGTATTCATGCTTGCTCGCGAGAGGTTTAGTACTGTTAGTACTGTAGTACTGATGAAAGCTGTTAGTTCAGTAGTACTGATGAATAAGCAAAAATCTACAGAAAAGCATTCCTATAATGGGCAGCATATGAATCTTTTTGCCATCTTCCTTAATCAAGACATTTGTTTCACTTTTGATTAGGGATGAACACCAAACAATTTTTTAAAAGAAATTGACTATGAGTGCTCTCCACCAATGCATCAGTCAATATATCGGTCAAGAGTCATTTGATACTCGACTGATATATTTATCAACAATCTGTCAATAGCCATTCCACACTCAGTCCATAGTTGATCACACCCTCCGTCAATAGTAAGTCGATAGTTGGCCTATACTTGGTCAAGATTCAGTTGATATATTGGTCAAGATATCAACCATCCAATATCGACCGAGTCTTGACAAGTATCCTCAGACTATCGACGGACCATCAACCAAGTGTCAACTGAGTGTCGACTGACTTAATCAACCAAGTTTTGACTGACATATTGACCGACTCTTGACTAATAGATCGGTCGAGAGCACCTACAGTATTACTGCAAGCATACCAAGGTTAACTGGATCATGTTTTAAATATGATCTAATTGACCTTGGTATGCTAATTTCCTATGCCTTAGATGTTTCTTGGTAGCCGTGCTTGATAGTCATATTACTGAAAAACAATGCTATAAGAACATCAGAAAATGTAAACTATGTTTGCACGTCAAATTGCAAAGTGTATAGACAGCACCTGAAGCGGACATGTGGAGAAATTTCCGATGATGTCATTCAGCGTAATTGTTTCAGAGAATGAATGTGAAAGTTAACAATGACAAAGACTTAGAGAGGTCTTACTTTAGTGATGTCACCCTGTATCTGAGTAACTCCGGGAAGAGGAGCCATGGCTTGTAGATCGACGGCCACAATTTTTACTTTGTCTTTGTTTTCTGGACGTTCTTCGATCAATTTTCTGCTAAGTACTTGACTCCAGCTCCCCGGTGCCGCACACAAATCCACGACTCGACTTACACCATTAAACAGATCAAAGTCATCGTTAAGTTGTAACAATTTAAATGCACTTCTAGCCCTCCAGCCATCCTCCTTAGCAAGTCTATAGTAAATATCTCGTTTATCTTTAGAGGAGCGCCCCATCTGTCCAGTATCTAACTTCTCTGTTGGTTCGCTATTCCCAATCCCCACTCATCCAAACGCCGAGGAATTTTTATACCTGGGCATGACTTTGCATAACTTCACTTTGAACATGGCCGGTGTGAATGACAGTGATCCAGTCGAGTCTTCACCAGACTTAGAGACTCAGAAAAAAGAAATAGCAGAGGTTGTGAAGAAGCCTCTCGTCAAAGGTGATATCTGGTAAGTTTCAGTGGAAATGGTTTCGTTAATGTATGGTTTCTCCGGCAGCTCTAAACGGAAGTGAAACTAGCGTAAGTTTGGCAAGAGTCGAAAAAAAATATTTAATTTTAACTCTTAGTTTTCTCAAACAAATAAGCCCACTGACTAAAAAACATGATTTGCAAGTTACTTTTGATCGACGAGGAGTTATCTTTGAATTAAAGATGAGGCCTTTTGACACGCAATGCGTAAGGCAAAAGCGAAAAGAGGTTATAAGTTAACACCTGTGACTAGTCTACATTTTGTTTGGTTTTAAAAATGTATCTTTAGCTGCAAACGATCTCAGAACGTACAATAGCAAAATATGATTTTCTATAGTAATGCGCTGAATTTAAGTACTGTCCCTCGTATTTATAAACATAACACCCAGCAACATGCATAAATTTACAACTAATCGCTAGTCAGCTTCTTGTCGGTATGATCTGACTGATTTGGGGAAATGATTGACTTAATTGGGCGCAAAAATCAGCGTAATTCTATTCATCTGTACTTAACAGTTCTCAGGGTATTTTAAAAATGGAAGTGAGGACAAAGTGTAGACAGAAATCTAGAATGATGCTCTTTGTGGCCACCCCTTCATCCCATTAGAAATATAGGAGTAAGCTTACTTTGTTTGATTGGGTTGTTGAGTAGTCATATATTAATGCAATTTTTTGGGTTCATTTCCAATTCAACCATGTTTCTGGCAGAATTCAGTCATCTTGTAATTTCCTACATCAGGTTTTACAAGTGCATTCATGTGTTTACTTTTAATGTGAAAAGGCGATCTTTCAGTTTTTCACCTTGAGTTTGCCCCAATGGTAGAAAAATGGTAGAACCTTAGCAGTGGTTCAAATAGAGCTGAATTGACACTCAGTGATGTTTGAGCCCCCCTAAAAGTGTTTGTCAGAATGTTCTTTCAGCATCAGTCAAATTTAACAGGCATCCTAAGATGAAACAAGTGAAATTTCTGGAAAATGCCCATTTTTCCACTTAACACCCACTCCCTCAGCAAATATTTCCTCGCCCCATTCCTCCACAGTTACCAAATCTAAGATGGCGGCCTAATACGAAAATGTGCACTAGTGCGCCCAAAATACACTGGCACTGCAGGCTAGAAAATAACAGGCAGTATAACTATAAACCAAAGCAGTTTATAATCCATTGACTCTCTTGTGCAATTGTTTATGACGGCATCTGATCAATCCCAGGTTGACAATAAATCTTAGAGCTTACAAGTTATCACTCCTTTCCTTTCCAATTATGATCTGCAAAAGGCTTTTGAGAATAATCAGAAATGTGCAACTGGTAAACATGCTTCACACATGCTAGAAGAAGATGGCTCAATTTGAATATCAAAAACATCAGTCATGGAATAAAACAGGAACCACGGTTTGCAATGTACACTAATCCAGGGCTCGACACTAACTTTTCAACTTGCTAGCCAAGTGGCTAGTGAAACCTTAGATGTTATGAGGATTTCAGTTTGTTTACTAGCCAAACTGGCTAGTGGAAATCGAAAACCACCTGAGTTTGTACTAAGTCTGTGACTCTGGAAAACTGGTTCATTATCTTAAAATAAACTTTTCGGGCGGTTCACTGACAAAACAGACTTCCCTGAGCAGATCTCATCAACTACAAGCACATGTGACTTTTTCAAGCAAACTAAACAAAATCACAGAACTCTAGCTACAGACTGAAACTGAGTTCTTGGAGAAGACTAAAAACATAGTGTTGTTTCTCTGTAACAATTCATATTCCTTGTGATTCGATTCAATTTCAATTACTGCCTTTTGATTTTGATTATTTCAATTTGATGATGCAAAATATTAATGTTTTTTTAATTCTTATGACATAATACACAATGTAAACAACATACAACCCCAAGCCCTCAATTTGAGGATACACTGCATAAAAGTAACAGGAACATTATTCTATAACAAGGATGTGATAAAAAAAGAAACATGCAACATGTTAGTGTTCTTCTTTCTAGATCTAGTGCACCTTCTGATTTTTTTAAAAAATTAACTTGTCTACATGTTCAATTTGCAAGCATGACCTCTGAGCAGACACAAGGTTGCCTGCAGAAAAAAAATATATTTTTGCCAACTTTGAGAAAGTAGGGTATTTGAGCTCATTTGCTTTCTGCCACAACAATGGATTGGAGTTGAATGGCATGGTTTCTCCAACTTTGTAATTAGCTAGAAAACCATAATATTTCCAAACAGTGGAACTAAAAGATTGGGGTGGATTCACAATCGCTTGGTCATTTGTTGCCATTTAGAGAATGTGACAATAAGTGTGGTGCACCTGGTTTGCCTTATTTGGAAATTCTCAAGGGGTGGTAGAAAGGCAACAAAAACTTGTAAATCAAAAATGCATATTATTTTAAAGAGTTCTGGATTCTGATTATTCAATATAATAACTTACTGAGGTCTTCCTGGGAAAGATATACAAAAAATTGAACCAAAATCAAATCATGGAATCAAAGAATCATGAATCAAACCAAATGGTCATCATTGTTACACCACCATATGTCATGCATTGTAGACAATAATTACTATGGAATTAATTAATGTAGATTGTCTATCTGAATATTGAGTATCTTGACTTACCTTAAATGACGTCATTCAGTGTCACTGTTTCAGAGAGTGAATATGAAAGTTACTAGTGACAAAGACTAAGAGAGGTCTTACTTTTAGTGATGTCACCCTGTGTCTGAATAACTCCAGAAAGAGAAGTCATGGCTTGTAGATCCAGGGCTACAATTTTTACTTTGTCTTTGTTTTTTCAGACAATCTTTTGGCCCCACACAAATCCATGACACCACTTACACCATTAAACAGATCAAAATCATCATTAAGCTGTAACAATTTAAATGTAATTCTTGCCATTTTGGTGATGGGAGTTGATTCAGTAGCAAAGAACTTGGTTTGAAACTGACTGGCCACAAATTAGCTCAAAACAAAAAGATAATTGTTCCAAGATCGAGTCATTTGAATACCATTTCTTTGTAAGTTTCCCTTTCAGCTCACCCAAGGCTAAGTTATCCTGATTTTTTTGTAGGTATCTTATTGATAGTCGCTGGTTTAAGCAATGGAAGAAGTTTGTTGGGTATGACTCATGGGATAAATTTGAAGTAGGACAAGAGTTGAATAATCCAGGTCCAATAGATAATTCAAGTCTTTTTGAAGGTGAGATATAATATTTTAAAGAGATTGACCTTTGTCTTATGTTTGTTGATTATATCTCTGTGTCTTCTTAATTTTTCGAAACTGACAGAGCAAATTGTTTTTATCAAAAGCAACCTGCATACCTTACTAGCTGAGTGTATCACATTTAGAAGCAATTAAATTATAACCTTATTTATTTATTCATTTATTTAACTTTATTTATACATGGGTAAAACATCAGGACTTAAAGTAGATACTAAAATTGTATTAATTACACTGTCAAGGTACTAATCTACCACTAATTAAATCTAATAACAACAAAAAATAAAAACAACAAAGTGCCTGCTTTCCATGAATGCCATGTGATTGATTAGCTTATTTATTATCAAAAAAGAAACCCTTGCAGCTTGATTTGAGTTTGTGCTTGTTACAGACCATTAAGAGATTTATAGACCAAAGTGGCTTTTTTTATTTCTCGTTGAAGATTAAGTTTTTGCCAGCCTAGTCTAACGAAGAGATCACCTGCATTGGCATCATATGAGGAAGATGTCAGAATACACGTAGCATGATTCTGTAGTTTAATGGAAAGAGATTTATTGCAATTCCCCCATACTATTGAAATTGAAATGAGGTTGAACTAAAGCATTTATGGATGTGTAAGAGCATTTCAAAAGGAACAAAAGATCTGCTTCTCTTCAAAATGCCAATGCAGGAGGCTTTTTTTTGGAAATATGTTCAATATATATGTTCCAAGTTAAGTTTTGGTCATTCACCATAGACCCATTTTATGTCTTATATTGTTAATGAAACCAATTTGGAAAACCTTATTACCTTATTTTACCTTATTAGAAGTAATAAGCTGGAAATTGCTGATCAACAATCCTAAAATACGTATGATGCACGATCCTTCGCAGTAGATAGTGCTATTTATGCAATAGCGAAAATCAGACCTGAAAAAAATTAGGCCTGTACGGGATTTGAACCACTGACCTCTGCGATACTAGTGCAGCGCTCTACCAATTGAGCTAACAAGCCAACTGGGAGGAGGCCGTTAAGTTGATTCGTAATAAACCCGTGATGATAAATCAGATACAATGAATATATGAAGTTCATATATTTGAACTGCGGTATTAAATACGTATGAAATCAGACCTGATTTTCACTATTGCATAAATAGCGCTATCTACTGTGAAGGATCATGCATCATACTTATTTAGTACTGCAGTTCAAATATATGAACTTCATATATTCATTGTAATCCTAAAATAGTCAGCATATATTTAAAATTTGGTGGTAAATTAATTGGTGTTGATGTTATTGTGGGATGAATAACAGTCGTCAACTTGGAGAGATACTGAAGCTTATGTATATGAGAACGATCCTTCGCAGTAAAGCACTATTTGAGCAATAGTGAAAATCAGACCTGAAAAAAATTTCAGGCCTGTACGGGATTCGAACCACTGACCTCTGCGATACTAGTGCAGCGCTCTACCAATTGAGCTAACAAGCCAACTGGGAGCAGGCCATCAAATTAATTCGACATAAACCCGTAGATGATAAATCAAACAACAACAAACATATGAAACATATGTGTGAACTGCGGTTATGAGACGTATATGAGAACGATCCTTCGCAGTAAAGCACTATTTGAGCAATAGTGAAAATCAGACCTGAAAAAAATTTCAGGCCTGTACGGGAGGTTGGTCAGTGGTTCGTGGTTCAAGTGGTCAGTGGTCAGTGGTTTGAGTTGGTCAGTGGTCAGTGGTTCGAGTCCCGTACAGGCCTGAAATTTTTTTCAGGTCTGATTTTCACTATTGCTCAAATAGTGCTTTACTGCGAAGGATTGTTCTCATATACGTCTCATAACCGCAGTTCACACATATGTTTCATATGTTTGTTGTTGTTTGATACTGAAGCTTGTTTGTCTTCAGCTTATCAATTTTTCTACCTCTGTGCTTAGAAGACCAAATACCAATACTTTTTAAAATAGAGGGTAAAAACTGCAAAATAGGTGGCCAATGCAAATTTGATCCTTATGTTATATAATAATATTGTTACTTTGAAAGAAAATAGGCCATGATTTTGCTTGACATACTGTAGATGGTGAATTGTACTGGTTGCTGGCTCCCTTCCCCTGTAAAGGCAAAACGAACTTGCTTAACTCATTAACGTCAGCAGCTTTTGTGAAAAACTGCATTTTGAAGCTAGTCGAGCAGATCTCTGGTCACTGTCGTGCTCTTAAAAGCTCAAACTTACCACAAACCCACTTACAGCTTGTACACTTGACGGCCTTTTGATCCAAATGCAAAATAGTGGCCTGCAAATCTCAGGCATGCGCAGAAAGCAAAATTTTGACATTTGTGGTTGAAAAGTAGCACCCCAGTCAAGACTTTTACTTTTCTCTCTTTCTCCTGCCCTTTTTTCCCCTTTCCTTGCCTGAATTTTTTCGTCACTTACTGGGCATTTAGTAGGCTTTATTTTGGTGCAGAGATTTTTCAAGAAACTACTCATTATTTTAAAACCACATGCTCAGAAAGGTAGGTGGGTAATGGAACAAGATTTTCATGCAGATTTTCAGGTCAAAGTTACATGGTTTTTTGACTATTTCTCCAGTGTCCTTCACTCAATTGCGCTCATTCTGGTATAGTTTGTAAGATATTTTCAACCTGTACAAGTACATGCTCAAAGTTGTGCTCGAGAGTTAAAAGTGATGATGTCACAAGGCATAGAAGGGATGTGGTCGCACATGGGCCCATACAGGCACACTGGACATCAGTGGGTTAATGTTTTGTGAATAGCTCAGAGGCAGTCTTTATAAGAACCCAAATATTAGGCAAGTGATGGTGGAAAACTTCAATTTACTACATGATGAGGGAGAGCATGTAGTAAAAATCAAGTGCAGAATTACTTTTCAGGAATGAAACTGTTGAGAGCTTAATCACTGTCTTGATTGTGATTGGGTTGAAAATAACTTTAAAACCAGTTTTTTTTGTTTGGGACCTGTCTCATCAAATGCATAGGTCCATTTGGTCCCCTCATTTTTAAGTCAAAGGCCAGTAAAAATTTCCTGTTCTTTATCTGTGTTCTAGTTGTAACGAAAGTTTTCGTATGTTATCTCTCACAAGGGATTCAGGCTGTCAAGGGAAATCATTGATAGCAGTCAGTGAACAGAAAAATTTTCATTTTCAGCGACTGCTGGGAATTTATTTGACTTAGCAACAGTACAAACCTGGCTGCTTAATGAAGCAAAATTCCTAGATGTAACCTTATCAGTAGTCACACAATAAATCCTTTATTGCCTTTTAAAGCTTGTTTATGCAAGGCCAGGTTAAGTGTTCTTATTTTTTACCATACTGTATATTAATAATTTTTATAGCTGATGGCAGCACTCATACTTTATATTAATAATTTTTATAGCTGATGGCAGCACTTTGAAAGAACATCTTATTGATGAGCTTGATTACACCCTGGTACCAAAAGACTCATGGTTTAGACTTGTGTCATGGTATGGAATTATTTCAGACCAGCAGACTTTGTCCAGGAAGGTTGTGGAACATGGAATGTTTGTTAAGAGCTGTAAGGTTGAAGTGTACCTCACTGCTTTGAAACTTTCTAAATACTCAGACCCCCAAACATTTGTTACAAGGCAGTTCAGTAAGGGAGATACTGTTGGTAAGTTTACATTGTATCATGATAATGATTATAGTTTATACTTTCTCATCAAAGCTGAATAACTAGCAGACCAGAATATTACTTTCAAATAATGTTTTTCAAACAAAAACATAATTCTTTCAAAAATATTTTGAAGTATCAGTGATTTGTGTGAAGTGTATTGAAGAACTTGGTTTATGGTGTGAATTTAAGGTGATGTTATTAACTTCTTAATAACTGCTTTTTTTTTTATTTGACTGGCTCCATGATTGGGAGAGATAAGGGAAATCCTGGTTTTTGGTTTACATTCTTCACATTTTCTGGGTTACTGTTTTGTGACAAGAGGAAAACTTTGTGGAAGTTTTTGTCTCAACAGAGTAACAGACCGGTCAGTCTTTTGATGGTCAAAACCATTAAAACTATAACTTGTGTGGTCAAATAGTTCAATTGCAAAAATCTCTTTCATCAAGATAGAATTTTCACAGAACTCATCTTTAGCTCAGTCTATTTATTTTTATTAAAAATTACATCATTGGATAATGCAGTTCAAGACTTTTTATTGGCTTAGCCATTATGGTATATCAGCCAATATACCATAATCTACAAATATGGCAAGCATATGTATTAGCTTAAGGAGGCTCAAAAGGGTTTTCCACAATTAACAGCAAGTGCCAATCAGTAAAAGATATCAGGACTGTCAAACTTATCATTGGGATAATGACTTGACATATCCTTAACACTATGTTAGGGCAATCTTTTAAGGGGGCTCGTCAGGCGTCATCTGTTGCCATGGCAACAGTACAGTAGTGCTGAAAGACCTTCCAAAACTCAGTTTTTGAAAGATATCTCAAAAACCAAGTCAGTGACCTAGTTTTTTCTTTCAAATTTATTTAACATCATCACATTCTCTATCTGTATACGTGAGATAAAAAAAAACTAACCCGTAGAACTTGAATTATATAGGAAAATGCTGTTTTAAAATGTAAAAAATTTTCCACTAGATAAATTTTTTTAAAATTTTCTTCAAGAATGCGTAATGATGAAAATAATTTGTACACAAAAAATCAGGGTAGGTTACTGAACTAATTTTCAAGATATTAGTTCATCAATTTAGCAAGCTTTATTTCCAGTTTTTACAATTGTAGCACACACTTTTTATTTCCGGTCATGCGCTTTAAACGATACCGCTGACTCCAGGGCTCATTTTCGCGAGGATGAGTCCGTGTCCGTGCGATTAATCGGCGGATGCCCTCAGCGCGGAAAAGATCATACATCCTGAAGATGGATTCACATTGTTTCGTGATTTTACACATTCCTGAAAAATAAGTCATCATTTGAGACTCAGACTCCTTACCGTTACGACAGTTGGAAATGTAAGAACATTCTGGAGAGAATTCTCTTGCGGAATTCGATATAATTATGATGAAAAGCTCATTTTGAAGGTGGCGCCGATGCCAGTACAACATGGAGGCCGTTAATGTTGAGTTTCTTGTACAGAGATTGTAGTGTAACATGAGACAAACCAGCCTCTGCCAGCTTCTGGACCATGTTTGTCGAAAGATGAAGCTTTCCATCGGACGTCTGGATGGTATCCTGTCGTTGTTCCGAGAAGATGGCTTGATCGAAGGCCTCATTCGGCGATGCACATTTACCATGATTGACCGTATAACTGTTGGCGTGCAGTTTCAAGTGGAGGAGTGAAAAAAATTCGGAGTTAAAATAATTTGCTGTGACGTCTTCCAGATTGTCATGAGCGTCAAACTAAGCGGAAGTCAGGGATTCATATACAACAGTAATTTGTTGGTCGTCACAGATTTCGCGAATTTCCATATTTTTCAAGGTACTAGAGGTATGAACAAGCCTTGGCTTCATTTTCCTTTTTTTCTCTTTGCCACTGTCATGGCCGTGAACTTTCATTATTCCGTTTTAAATGGAAAACAAAACAAATTTTGCAATGCTTTCTTAACAAATGCGAGTTTGCATTTTCGTAGTTGTAATTTACAGTTTATCGAGTGAAATATCAACAATCTTTCTCACAAGTTTAAGATGAATATTTTATTTTAATTTTACCGTTTCTGGTTGAATTAGAATTAAAGTCTCATCTACATTTTTACGATATCTTGTTTATCTATCATCTCATATCCAACGCGCGCTCGTGGAATAATTGTTAATTAACAATGATGATTAATAATGGTAGTAGGACTGAGTTGAGTCCAGTTTGGTCTGTAATCATACAATCATGTGATCAACAAAATCAGATGAACACAAAGCAGGAGTCTGATTTGTTAAGTACAAGACTAAGTATGATAACAGACAATAATAATAATGTTGATAATAATTGTTATAATAATAATTTAATTTTTACCTGGGATAAACCTTCAGTAAAAAATACTGTTATTAACATGGTCCTGCTAACTAAGAATTAAAACTATAAATAAGAATTATTAAGATAAGTAAAATAAAACAGAGAATAAAATACATACCGGTATTAAGGCAAAAATACATTAGTGTAAAACCATTAAATATAAGGCTTTCCTTAATAAACCTCTAGAATTAGTGTTTATTAAACTTAAGGTAATGAAAAAAAAATCAAGGTACTTAAAAAATAAAAGTTATGGTGCACAAAATCCAGTCTGACCTTTGTCAGTTTTCTAGTGTTTAAAGCGTTATGATGTGATCATTGAAAATAGTCTTTCATGGAAAGCATGCCATGCCATTAAGGCAGTCAAATACAAAGCAGAACGCTCTTTTTTTGTAAAAAGTTATCAATTGTTAAAAATCAAAGTTCTGCAGACTGCGTTTTAGGGAAATGATTTCGAGGCTTCAGGTCTCAATAGAGTGGATCATGCATTTGCAGGACTCTGACCATCCAAGACTAATATAGCAGCAATAGGTAAATATTGGCATAATCAACAATTAGTGAATTAGTTGGGCACTAAAAGTATCAATGCTGGAGCAGATGCACTGTAAGAGGTTCACTCTTCCTGCTGCCTTCTTGTAAATTTTTTTAAAATGCATTTTAAAATAGTGTTGGATCCAGATGCATGCCAAGGTACTTATAACATGTAATGGTGTTGATGGGAGAACCATTAACTGAGAGCTTGACTGACAGCCTTGAAACAGATTCAACTGCTTACCAGTGCCAAACAGCATCACTTCAGATTTTCCTTTCTTCAGATTAAAAATAAGTTCATTATCACGAAACCAGTTAGAGAGAATATCTGAGTCCTGTGAAAGGCTGCTTTGTATCACATAGATATCACTTGAGGATGTAAAAATCATTGCAACATCAGCATAAGTGATAATCCTGTAATGATGAAGGGGACTATGCACATCATGAAAGAAGATGAAAAAAAGGATGACACAAAGTCCTGTTACCAATTATCAAAAACAAAAAATTTGAGAAAGAAAATAGATGTTGTATGTTTTCATAACAAAAAAAATAACAGTTAACTCTGCAAAATGTGCGACAGTAGTGTGTGTATGTGATGCATTCTGTCCACTTACAAAGGCATGATGTTTGCGCTATTAACTGTCCTAATACACTATTCATTTACAAGCATGACATGTACACTGTCCTATTAGTGCTCAAATCGAGCTGGTGATAGCCTATCAGGTTCGAGAATTTATTTCATATACTGTAGTTCTTCTACTTACAATTGTATTAATATTCCATAACCACTGTTACTGTTATTATAATTGTAATTATTATTGTTATCGTAATGATTATTTTAGAATGAGTTTCAAACACATGCACCTAAAAATGTTTACATCCATCTTATATTTGGACAACATTTCAATCTACCCAAAATTAATAAAAAAAGTACTTGCATGGTCAATAATCAAGCTATCTCGACCTCATCCTTGGTCAATAACATGCATTTGCAGCCCAGCAAATAACAACAATTTGTGGGGTTTACTGTCTCTTAAATAATTGGGTAAATTCATTCTTGAACAGATCATGTTGTGTTGGAAATGAAAAAAATCTTTAGCATACCAGAAGATGCTGAAACAAGAGTGTGGAACAAGTACATGAGTAGTACATATGAGCTTCTCAGTAATTTTGAACACACTGTGCAAGATGCTGGCCTTTATCAGGGACAGGTAACATAATGATAATTATAAATCAAGTAATTTAAGTTTAAGGGATTTATTCAGTGAAACACCTGAAACAATTTTTGATTTTGATTGGCCAAGAGATATGCAGTTCTCAGGTAATACAATACAGGAAAGGTAATTCTGTGCTGAAAAGATGTAATTTAGTGCAACTAAGGGTAAGAAAGTAATTATTCTGGTTAATCAGTTACCAAAGAAACACTCCGATGGCCAATCAAATCTTTTTAAGTAGATGTATGCTAAAAATAAAAACATTAAATACAAACCAGAGAGCATCAAAGTAATGATTGCATTACAGAACCAAGGCTATGGGTTGTCCATTGCTGTTGATAGATAATTCAATTTCTCTAAATATAGGACAATAAATAGGACAATGTAGTGAGCTTTCTAGCCTGCAGAGTAGGCATCTTATTAGGGCAAGTTGACATCATAAGATCATGATCATCTATCCAAACACCAGGATTGATTTAGAGTCAGAGTGGAGGGTGGGGGTAGGGGACAGGGGAAGGGCAAGAAGATGCCTGCCCAAAAAGGTTATTAAAATGCAGAACACCCCCTGATAAGTTGCGCCTCACTGCATTTCCGGAAATGAGCAGGTACGCAATCAAAATTAGTTAATTTAAAAACCGAAAGCATTGTCTTCAGACAGAAACAAACACACATAGAGCTGGTGAATGAAAAGGTGAGCATTTTTTTTTTCAGACAGGAAATGACTTCTACAAAACCTCTTCTGTCGTCACAAATATGAGCTGGTATTTCCTGCACTCTATATTTTCCAAACAACAATCCTTTTAATCCATTTGACAATGTTTCATCCATTTGATTGCAAACGGTACTTTAAAGCAAAGGAACAACTACCCCCAAAGGTTAACCAGCTGTAATTTTGTTTGATGTGAACCAGCATATTTTGGTGAAACAGTGTGGCAAGTTTTTTTTTTTTCCATCAGCGAAAGAAATGCCTTCACCAAAACCATTTGCTGATGCAAATGCTAGTTAATATTTGCCACACTCTACATCCTCCCAATGACAATCCATGAGTGTAGCTGCTGTTAACTCCATCAAAGAATGTCTTTCATGCAAAACCAACACCTGAAATATCAGGCTTTTCCCAAAACCAGATGGTAACACAGCCAGAAGGGTCCTTTCCAGAAACCAGTGTATAAATTGCTTCTTTTTGTTCTGCTCTTAATGCATGATCCATATCATTTTCCGAAAGACACTTGGTGCTTTTTTCAAGAGCAGAATCAAAACTCGCAACGTTATTTTTAGAGTTTGCCATCCTTGACTCTTTCCTGCAAGAGCAAAATGTCCAAATGATGCATTTGGCTTGTGATTAACAACACCAATTGTGCCAATCAGAAACTCTGAGGGTGAACAGAGTTTTGCAAAATAGCAGTGGGTTCAGGTAGGCATAATATTCACTCCCCTACCCCAGCCCTTCTTTTTATTTTTGACCATCACTCACCCCCCTTGGTACACATTTCTTTCTCTCTTCAGCCTTCCACTGCCATTAAAATCAAAGATGGCAGCAATTTTTTGCTGAGCACTCAGTCAACCAAATTATGACTGCTCCATAGGCTATGTGCTTTCATGCGTACTTTTGCATATATCTAAACAAAAACCATACCTAAACATATATATATTTTTTTAAGGTTCTAATTATAGAACAAAAGAAGGAGGATGGTACTTGGCAGCGTCCATCTAAAAGGTATCTAGGGCTGCTCACTCAAGTACACATTCATTTAGATAAATGTACGCTATATACAATCAAGCTTTTTCAGAGGAATTGCGTTAATGTTTTGTTGCTTGATACATTTTATTCTATTTATCATGCTGAAAAGTGCAACATTTCAGTTTGCTGTTTACTTCTGAACCAGTTCAAGTATCTTGATGATAGGGCCTAGCTCCACACTGTTATGATTTTGAAAATATACATATTTCATTTTGTCCAACCATGTTGCTGTGATAGAAATGCACAGGGAACCTATTTATTATAAACTTTTTGAGGTAGAAGTTGATGTTTGCCAAGTTGGTTGGTTTCAGTTAACATTCACTACCATTGAACTACATTTAGGAATGAATATTTCTAAGTTATGCTTTGTCCCCTGAGTTGTGTGTGACTTTAAGGAGAATTCCAATTAATGTGAAGAGCAAACCTGAAACAAAATTAGAACCGCATTTCTCTACGGAAATGGATGCTACATGTCAGATATTGCTTACTTTTTAGATTTCGTCAGTATGATGTACACTTGCATACAAATCTATGTCTTATTTGTGTGAATAACCTATTTTCTAACCATGCCTACTGATACTCAGATTGTCTGGACAAGTAGTGTGTGGCAATGAAAAGGTTATAACTTAACTGTAATCCTAATGTCCTGTGAAAAAGAAAAGTTCCTACCATGACTAACTGTCTCTTCTTAACAATTCTTTTCAGTTCTTCCTCATCATCAGTGGTAAGTTGAAAAGAAAATTTTTACTAAAAAAATTTTTTCTTTAATTTTTTTTTAATATTAAGTGAACATTAGTCTGATGTAATATTAAGTGAACATAAGTCTGATGTAATATTTACTGTTTAATGTTCGAGAGTACACAAAGCTGCAGTTAAGACTCGTTTCTTAACTGGTGTTTTTCTTTTGCAGGTGACATCAAATTGTGAACATAGTACTGAATCATCAAATTCCTACAGGTCAGTAGTTATAAATTTTTGATATCCCCATTTGGCATAGAGCAAGTTTCATTTGAGTATTGTAAAAGCCAAACCAAGAGTAATTACAATGGCAATCAGAGCAAATGTAAACATCATGATAAGCTAATGAGAATTCAAAACAAAACATGCAGAACAACAACAACAACAACAACAACTTTATTTGTACCCAACATAAAAAATACTGATAGAAATAATGATAAATTGACAGAATATAAAGGAGTACTAGCTACCCCAAATAACCATAGGGGCTAGAAAAAAGGGGCAGCTATACTTAGGTGATTTATGTAATGTAATTATTTGGGTCAGATATAACACACACAACACACGCACGCACGCACACACACACACACACACACACACACACACTCATTCATCATACAAAACAAGGTCAAGGAAGCAAGGAATATCAGAGTAAAAAGCAAACTGAAGGCCATGAAAAATTATGAATATTTATCGAGAAGAATTAGCTTAAGGATTTTCTTAAAACGTTGCAGAGGAAGAAGCTCTATGTCTTCACTTATATCATTCCATACTTAAGCACCCTGAAATCTTATGTTGAAGATTCCATAATTTGTTCTGGCATTTAGAATAGTATAAGTCATTTTGCTAGATAATCTGGTATTATATATAATTATGTAACATCCTAAACAGATTTGAAATTAGGGTCAGATACAGGAGGTAAGAGTTTCTTGTGAAACTTATACATAAATACTGCAAGTTGAAAGGTAATAATGTCAAACAGCTACACAACATTTAGATCTTTAAATAAAGGACTTTAATTTTCGTTATAAGTAGAGAAAGTAATTATTCTTAAGGCTCTCTTCTGTAATATAAATAAAGGTTGCAAAGCTGTCTGATAGGTATTACCCCAAACAATAATTATTATGCAGTAGTTTAAAAAAGGCTCAACTAAAGCATAGTACAGGCTAAGTAGTGTTTTAGTACTTAAGAAATAATGGAGCTTGGACAGAATGCCTATACTTCTCTTGGGTTTTTTTAGAAATATTATTGATGTGCATCTTCCAACTAATGTTATAATCTAGACTTCTAGAAGTGTAGATAATGCAGGTTACCAAGTGAAAGAGGGTTATTTTTGCCTCTGGTTGCTTTACAGGATGGCATAAATTATTAAGTCCTTATTCAAAGGACTCTAAGTTTACTTTGGACACTTTTTTGATTCTCGCAATTCAAAGCAGGCTTTAGCAGAAGTACATCAACTGCTTAAAGGCCCATTTCCAACTGAGATGCCTTGAGCGCCCGGATCATTTTTCATATAATGAAAAATACACTATTTTCCTCGTAGTTGCGGAATCGTTTTGATATCTTCTTCCATCTTACTAATTAGGGCTTTCAAAGCTCCATCTTGAATCATGTGCGAACAACAAATTATCGTAGTATCCATATCAGTAAATAGTTTTTAATTCTTACATGTATGATGGTCAAAAACGTCATTTGAAAAGTTGATGCTGCCGAAGAAGCGATCTAGAGGAAGGCCGAGTCTGTCCGGCTCGGCAAAGGTTATTTGACTGCGAGAGTCTGTGTATGATTTATGGAGGGCAAGGAAAACAACTGTGGGTTTTGGTAACACTACAGACAGTGCTTTTGCGGAAATGTTATTGCATTGTTCCTACAATGGAACTAGAGACTCTGGGGAGATTTTTTCGGGGTGAGAATAATTATTTGACTGATTTTTATTGAGATCCTGAGATATGTATGTAAGCGATCTCATTTGTACAAGTCATTATTTTATAATTGAAATGCGTAAAGTAAATCCGTTTTGGCCAATATTGGTTATTTGTTTATATTTTATTTAGTGTTGAAGCCGAACAATTTCCTTCAGCATCAAGTAAGCTTTGTACAAGTTTTATACACAGACTCGATTTATGATTTTTCGGTCTCAAATATTTAGCTGCAAATTTGTTTACTGTGTTCTTCACCAAATCTTTGTTTTTCTTTTTAATAGTGTTTGTGAATGACTATCAGAGTTCGCCATTTAACAATAGTGCGATTCCAAAACAAAAACAAACGACTGCAAAGGATCTCGGATGGAAATGGGCCTTTAATTACTGTAGATAATTTATTAACTAAAGCTAGTTGTATTGCAAACAGTACAGAAAACTACCTAATTTTATTATAGATAACTTTTGAGCAAGTTTTAGCTATTAAAAAATTAATGTGCTGCAACCTGGATTGGCTGTTGCATTAGGTGTGCAGCATTTGCCTTTTGGAGACATCTTTCCAAAACCTCCGTGAAATGGGAGATAAATGATCCATCTCCCTTGGACTGATGATAAGCAGATCTAGACTTCTTGTTGATTACAAAAGAGTTTTCTGAACGTTTTATATCTTTGTTGCACCTGACTTCAGAATTTTACTTAAAAGGCGACAACTCCTCTGGTAAATATGCAGCCTTCTTCTTTGTGAGTTTTTTTTTCCTTCAAAAGTAATGCTAACTCTATGTCAACATCAAGAGGCACCTAAGAGTATGTATCCCACACCAATCAGATCAAAGCAGTAGGGTATGTATCATGTAACAATCAGAGCATCAGGATGTTTTCCCTTGTGTCATGGAATCAGGATGTCACAAAATGTTGCAGGGAATCAAACCAACATTGAGGCACACTCCAAATGACATTAACAAGGGACTGTCAACTCATCCACTCAGTACAATGGTTCATGCCCTATCACTATATTACGAGATCTGTCAGGGTTAGAATGTTCAGCTGGCAATTTTTTTCTTACCACTTTAAATTGAAATATATTTGTCTACAGCTCCTATCCTTACAATACAGATGCCATCAACAAAATGTCCAACATGAAACTATCTCTGGAAGTGCTAGTTGTACTGACTTTGATAAAAACTGTGCAAAGCATTTACATAATTTGCAAAACATATTTGATAAATAATCTTGTTTTTGCTCTGTGGTTTCTCTTTTGGTCAAGATTGAAAATATTAGGGCTGGGCTGTTCAAAGCTGGGTTAAGATAACCCAGGGTTAGTGTGAAATTTGATTGCAGATCTGAAAGCTTTAAAAGAAACTCAGTTTAATTCCACTTGTCTATAATCTGATGACTGAATACTCTAAAAAGAGTTGGGAGCATTATCCCCAAATGGTTTTTGAACAGAGAAATGTAGAAGCCTGGATTAAAAATTTAACCCTGGGTTAGCACTCATTGGCCTTAAAATAACTGGGCCCAGCAAGTTACCAATGAGTATTTACTGTCTGGATCAGCTGCCACATTTAATATCTACCGTATTTCTTGGCTTCTAGAATTTTCACATGAAATACTGCTCATATTTTAATGGTGTTTTCCCACTCAATATTATTCTACCCTACCAAAAAAACTTCACATGAAGCAAAATGCTACTGTAAATTAATTGTATAGACAATTCTTGCATGCTTTGATGTTTTTAGCAATCAAAGGGGTTCTACGTTACCTTGGACTTAATCTCATGGCCGTATTGCAGGTCAATTCCTATAGTAAACAACCTGCAGTTTATCATTATCAATGGAGCCCCATTGTAATGCCCATGCGAAAACCTTTGAATTATGGTTCTTCTCTCTTCATTCAGTTTATCTTCACTTATTTGATGATCATAGTCCACCGTATCTTTGTTTAGGGTGTATTGGTGACAAATTGAAGTTTCAGTTTCCTTCCGGCATTTAAAATTATGTAGAGTAATATCTTTGAGGCAACGTACTGAAAATGAATAATTTTGATGTGGTCTCTGATGGAGGAATGGCTGCAACCTTAATTTTGTTTTTAATTAGTCACACATTGTGGTCTCTCTCTCTCCAGTTAGGGAGAGAACATATTGCATGACAAGACCAAAAAGGTCAGAGACCTGTTAACCCTTTAACTCCCAGGAGTTATTAACATGTAACTTGCCCCTATGATATCCATATATTATTCAGCAAACAAGTAGTGAGAATACTTAAAGTTATCAGGTAGACGTTATCTTGATCTACTACCAAATTCTCCCAACTACTTTTCAAGGAAATGTGTATATGATAATAAGATAATCATTGCTTAAACACGAAGGCGCGCTATAAAAGGAGCCTTAGGTCCCACTGGACCATTTGTCAATCAACCGTCGTGTGATGTAGAACTCTTAGAGTCAAGTCAGCTTGAGCTACAGCTACTCCAAAGCAGTGAACAGCGGGCGCATTCCTCAAAATTGTTTTTTTGTCTTCATCACAATACAAGAATTTTTGAGATTTGTATTTCCTTTCTCCAATATAAACTGTCTTTATTTGTGGCGGTAAATTTGAGATCGAAGTAGGTGGTTCGCACATTACCTCATGCCACCATGCTGGTGGAAGTAAACAGTAGATATTTCATTAGCTCCTTTTGCTCGTCTACCAGCATTTAAATTTGACCCGCACGCGTCAACGGTGAGTGACAAATGAGCCTAGGTCTTCCCAGGGAAGACTTCCTTATATAGCGCACCTTCGTGTTTAACAAACTGCAACACCTTTTTTTGCTTATTTCTGTTTCTGATCGTCTTCTGATGTGCAAAGTAAAAAATTATATTGTAATTAGAATAATCAGCTAAACAATGTTGAATTCCTTTGATGTCTTAGGTACAGTAGTTATAGCTCAAAAAACTCTTGGGAATATGATGGGATGAAGTCAAGAAGTTCTTTGCCAGGCCTCACAGGACTTGGAAACCTTGGCAATACATGTTTCATGAACTCTGCTCTACAGTGCTTAAGCAACTGTGTCCCACTGACTGAGTACTTCTTAGCTGGTAATTACAAAGAGGAATTAAACCGTGATAACCCTTTGGGAATGAGAGGAGAGATTGCTAATGCATATGCAGGACTTCTTCATCAGCTGTGGAAAGAGCAGTATAGCTCGGTAGCACCAAGGCAATTCAAAATGCAGGTGGGACGGTTTGCCCCTCAGTTTTCTGGCTATCAACAACAAGACTCACAGGAGCTTCTTGCCTTCCTGTTGGATGGACTTCATGAGGATCTAAATCGAGTAAAGAAGAAACCTTATGTGGAACTAAAGGATGCAGATGGAAGGCCTGATGCGGTAGGTTTCTCTGTTTCAAGAACCACACAAACCTTGCAGTGACTGTGAAATTTATAGAAATTTTAAATCTGCATGTGCTGTAGAAAGCTCATCTTTATTTACTAATAGAGTAGTACACTTACTGTAACTCATATTAAAAGGATTGTGTGGTAGCTTTTTTTATAATGAATGTCAACATACATGAAATCACTGTAGTAATGATTATAATGTTAGTAATATAGATAATAAAATAATGATGGTGGCAATAAATATAATTGTTATCCAGCCAGGAGGTCCATATTGGGGAAAACTGTGCATGAGATCTTGGATACTGCCCTAGGCCTTAGGCCTCAGGCAGTACTCAAGACAGTACTCAAGACAGAGGGCACCGTTTTTCCCATTATGGACCAACCTAGGATGGTGAATAACATTTTTATTTTTTCTTAAACTTAACAAAATGCTGGTAAAAAGAACCTGAATAACTCAGTTGTAACTCACAGCAAGATCCTCCAAGAACGGAGCAATTTTTGAGCAAATAGATGGTAGAGAAAATGGAGGTAATGCAAATTAAAGAGAGGCTTCATTGAAACATTTTTAGCTCTGTACTGATAAGGGTGATTTAAAAGGCTTCCAAGCAAACATTGAAACATTTTGTTATAAGTGTCTGTCATGATCTGACACCTATTTAATAATTTATTAGCTTTGCCAACAATATATACAATAAAGAACACAGGTAAATTACAATAACAATAACGGGCAGGCAACCACAACAGCAATAGCCAATTACTGTGGTCCCAGAGTATTAAAATAGTGAAATGATTACATCAATAATTAATAATTAAGAAAAGCGTGGAGTTGGTGTTGTTTTCAAGCTGTGACATGAATTACATTTCATACAGATAGTTTTATAAGTCCTAAGATTGTCAATGTCATAGATCTCTTGAAGTGCAGTGAAATAATAACACATCAAAGCATGTTTGAAGCACCTGTTAATTAGAAAGTATGTAAGGACACTTTTGAAAAAAACAACAATAGTTTTGGCAAGTAAACTCGAGGTAAATGACTACTGTCATCTTTCTTACGGAAAGAATTGTTCTCTTCCAATGACAATTACTCCACGAAGAATTACTTCTGTTCAGTTGTAAATGTCAAGGAAAGTTGAATTGTAAGTAAATTCATATGTACATTTTAAAGTTGTGAGAGCCTGCTGGTTTGCTTGCTGTAATGGCATCCGTAGAATTCACTAAAATATTGAAGTCAAATGATATGCTTTTTCTAGTTAGATGTGGGGATCATCATGCAAGTTTTAGTCATTGACTTTCTTTGGTTTCTTTCTTGAAATGTATTGTGGAAATATCCAAATTCCTGGAACTTGCAAAGCTATTAGTGAAAATTTATCTATAGTAGAACTCAAATCTCTGTTCAACATCTTACAAGGAACAAATTGTTTTGGAGAATTCTGATCCTAAATAAATGAGAGTTACATCAATAAATGTAATTGTTAACTGCAAATACCTCTCATTTTAACTTTCTTAGTTACTTTTTGAAAGGGTTTATTGAATTGCAAACAGTTTTGTAGGCTGCATGTAAGTTTGTTGAAAAAACATATTTGGTACTAAATCAATTTTTTTTTTAATTTGAGAGAGAGAAAGAAGAGAGAATAGATAAGTTATTTTTCTGAGGCAGAAGGTTAAGAGGAGAAAACTCTGTAAAACAGATCATCATGTTACAATGCAAAAATTTATAAGCAACAGTTTAGATGGGGAGTGACTAAATAGAGTAATGCAGTAACAAGTAACAATTGACCAAAAATATCATGGCATAAAAACTCCACAGGTTAAAAAAAGAAGGGCAAATTAAAATTGTATTTAACAAATCAAGAGAGAACCAGGAACATGAAGTAAAATTTAATAAGAAAAACAAAGGTAACCATAGTGTAGAAATAATGTATCCAAAACAAATAAATTCAGCATGAAGATTATTTTGATATTGCAGAACAAACCACTTGTAATATTTACATTCTTCTTTCAAGTTATAATGATTTCAAGTTTCAAAGAACATTATTGACTTGAATTTGGGTCTCACAATCAGTGCCTGCTTGGAAACTGTGAAAGTGCAATGACTGCAGAGTAATTTTAAATTCGGGCTTTACCATAGGAAGACTAAGACAGCAATTATGCCCTTTGACCGAAACCACATCCACTCACTTGGGTGGCTCCTTTTTGTACCATATTGTTTTAGTACAGTTAATTGTTAATTATTATCACTTATTATCATACCTGTACAGAGTTTTGACTGATCCACTTTTTCCAAAATATGTTTCTCAGCATCAACATCATCATCATTATTTTTGTCACTAAAATAGTAGACATGTACCTGAAAAAGTTACATGCATGTGATTTGCTGTAGATGAGTGCATATTTCATGGAACACCAGTGTAAATTACAAATAGCATGCAGGCTGCCAGAATTTTTTCTGTCTTGACTTTTGGTGTAAATTATTAACAATTAAGTGCTCCTAAATTTTTTTTATATACTACAAAACAATTTACTTGTGCTCATTAAAACCAAACTTCTCTCAAAATCATGTTATTGCCTACACTAACTGTATTAAGTTTGGACAAGTTTTGAAATGTGTTGTGAATGTTTAGGTTGTTGCAGAAGAGTCCTGGCATAACCACCTTCAGCGAAACAATTCTGTCATTGTTGATACATTTCATGGACTTTTTAAATCAACTTTGGTTTGTCCAGATTGTAATAAGGTTAGTACTACATTTTGTGGATCAAGGTGTCCTTTAATAATTCTGTGACTGGTACACAGTATTGTGCAATATGCTTACTAACAGGAAGATTAAGCTATGACCTAACCCAAAGAGAGTGAGTGAATGTAAATTACAATATGCTGACAAGTGCATAAAGGAAAGGTTTGAATTGCAAAAAACAAGCAGAGGCTACCTGCAAGCAAACTGAAGTGGATCAGTTGCTGTTTTTGATAGTTAAAAATAGTTAGAGTACTTGATAGGCACATGTTCTGAATGGTGCTGTGAGCTGGATTTGTTTGAGTTTATTCTCCTCTATCAGGCTTCAATGGTAAAGTCTGTTTACCAGCCTAGTGGCCCATTAGGCCGGTGCTTAACTCCGGTTTCTGTAGCATGAAGCGACTAGGAGTATTTCTACTCCCCCCTGGATGGGATGCTAGTCATCGCAGGGTTACCCCCAGCATTAAATTGCCGGTACCCATTTAAACACCTGGGTGAAGAGAGGCACTGTGAGAGTAAAATGTCGTGCCTAAGAACACAACACAATGTCCCGGCCGGGGCTCGAACCCGGACCACTCGATCTGGAGTCAAGCGCACTAACCATGAGGCCACCACGCCTCCACTTCTGGCTTCAATGCCCTGGGTTATTTATTTCCAAAACAGCTGGGAAATATGTAGCTGTAGTAGTTTGAAAGGATTTCAGATTAAGAGAAAAATTCAAATCAACCTAGTTTGCATTTTCTCTGTTGAAGGACTTTGGATAAAATACTTCTAGAACAAAGGGAAATACATTGTCTCACTCATCAAATATAATCTTTCTTTGTGTCCTAACAGAGCCTTAGATTTACATTCTTTTTAATTATATTTATAATTCCGTGAAGCAGTTTTACATTGCTGATCCTAAATGTATTTGAGAGGTGTTTTTAACAGTGTTCTTGTTTTCAGGCGGTAACAAGTAAGAGTTAATACCTGTTGTGCCTTGTATTAGCTAAAATCCCTTAGAATTCTCCACAGGTAAAAGGATTGTGTTACTGGTTCAAAAATCTCTTTTATCTGTTATAATAATAATAATAATAATAATAATAATAATAATAATAATAATAATAATAATAATAATAATAACTTGTATTTATATAGCACTCATATCTTAAACTCATGGCGCTTTACAACATTGTATGGGGGACTTTACCAGACTTCTAAGCAATTTACAATCAAATAAAGGCAAATATAACAGATGCCCCTAGACCATGCCCAAAATAGGATTCTTTTTTTCTTGTTTTTCGCTTAGTACGGATGATTAACGTACTTTTAAAATTAAGCCGATTTGATCAGATTTGTTTAAGTTCTGCTGTTCTTGCCCATTATAAACCTAAAAATTCTATCTGTCTTTTATTTATCTACATCTATGCAAAGGAATTATAAATTTAGGAAAAAATCGGTTGAAAAAGAAGATAAAACAAATAGGTCTTACGGCTGAGTAATAAACCTTCCAAAGCCGTGATGAGTTGTCCGTACCGAGTACTAACGTACTAACGTACTAACGTACTAAGCAAATTCAGAACAAGCCGTGATGAGTTGTCGTACTGAGTACTAAGGTACTAACGTACTAACGTACTAAGCAAATTCAGAACAAGCCGTGATGAGTTGTCGTACCGAGTACTAAGGTACTAACGTACTAACGTACTAACGTACTTCTTGCTTGCTCGCTCGAGAGCTGTAGTTAGTACGCTAGTACGTAGGTATTCATGCTTGCTCGCGAGAGGTTTAGTACTGTTAGTACTGTAGTACTGATGAAAGCTGTTAGTTCAGTAGTACTGATGAATAAGCAAAAATCTACAGAAAAGCAGTCCTATAATGGGCAGCATATGGATGCCCCCTCCCCCAATTCCCAGTAAACAGGCCATACCACATCACAGTAATCTCGTGAAGTGGTTCTTTAACGTCCCCTGCCTAACCAAATTAACTAATTAATAGATGCAGGAGACGGGACCTTCATTTATTCGTCCCTATCCGAGAAGACTAGAATATCTAACCATTTCTTGACTGATGTTATAGAAAGGTAGCATTATTGTTCTCAATTATTTTAAGACCCTGAGTGTTGGTCCGGCCGGGGCTTGAACCCTCGACCTCCCGCACACCTCCCTCTCTGTTGAGGGAATTTCATATATATTGAGTTCAAGGAAAAGTTAATGTCATCTGAAACAGTCAGAGAAAAGTGGAAGCTTGAGTAAATATTAACTCATTGATCTTGTTTTGCCATCCTCGTGGAGAAAGATGGGAACACAATTTTTCTTTTGTGAGCCTATAAACTATGTTATTCATGTATACTGTTAAGTGCAGTTGACAGATTCCTTACAAGCATATTATTTCTCCTTGAAATCAAGCTCAAGTTAGTTTGTTAATGAAATACAGCAATTCTTTTTCTTATATTTTCCTTGTTTGTAACACTGGTACTTTTCTCCAAAATGAAACCTGTTGAGGTAGTAGAAGAGTAATTATTATTGAAGGACAAGATGAGGTTTGTTTTCCAAGCCAGTTAGTCCTTCCAAGTTATAGGTGGAAACTACCTATTCACTAACACTTTGACTTCCTTAAAGCATAATTATGTAAAGGGTGGAGACAAGGCCATAAGAGTAGGCTGGAGGTCATTATGAGGACTAATTTGTGAAGTTGTTTATTCAGGTGGTCAAGGAAATTTTCTAGTTGCCATGAAAAGGCTGATAATTTCAAAGTTTATGACTGTAGCAACCATGAGGTTGTTTCAAGTATGAACCAAGTAATGACCTAGCTCACAGTAGACTTCTCTGTTGCGGTCAGTGGTAGACTGACAAGTGTGAATCCAAAGGTCTGATGTTTGATTTCTCATGCATGGGGCACCATCTTTTGTCAAATCACATTAGTTTGACACTATTTTGAACATAAACAAATATTTGCTTCAACATACCATACACAAATTAAACAACTGTGTTGAGGTCATATATGATTTTAAAGTGTGCACCTGCTTGAAGTTTCTCAACAATGTTTTTATTCGACAAACAAACCCACCAACCATCAATCAGGAATCAAGATTCTTTGATTTGTTTGTAAAGCGTTGTTTTTTGATCCGCTGAAGGTATCTGTCACATTTGACCCATTCTGCTACCTATCTTTGCCACTGCCAGTCAAGAAGGAGAGATGTCTTGATATTTTTCTGGTGCCCAGTGATCCTCTCAAGAAACCTACCTTGGTGAGTTTCGTCTAATTCTACAGCCAAGAGCAAAATATTTAATTTATGGAACAGGACTTGGTTTTTCTTGTTCCACAAGTTAAATAATAGTTCTCATTACAGAAGACCTCTTTAGCTTGAATCTTTGTTCTACCATTTCAGCACTCAAGGGAATTTCCAGCTTTACCTTTTGTAAATTACACAAAACATATGCACCTAAATAAGAGGAAACTTGAAAGAAACAGTACTCAAGAGTATCATCAAATGACTCTAAGGGGATAAACAAAACATACAAGCTGAAGAGGTCTATTGCCAATGATACCAGTGGTCACTTCATTCAAGTCAATGCGATGCCTAATATACATGTAGTTGTCAAATTTGTCAATCCTTCAAAGTCATTCATTTTCTGTTGAAACATTTAAAAATAATCTTTTTTTGGGTGCAAAAGCATTGACTTGAAAGTGAACTTTTTTTTTAAGATTTTTAACATTTAGGTATGGTCTTTACAAATTGTATTTCAAATGGCATTCTAATTAAAATTCCTCTTGTGGTTCAGTTTTACTTTGTTGCCATAAAAACAAAGAAAATAATTCTTGAATTAAAATAGAATTGTATTTTCCCAAACCAAAGTTGCCATTCTTGATCTCAGATCCTTATTCACAATAGTATATCACTACACCATGTCACATGTCATTCACCGGGCAGGAGGTCTGTATTAGGAAAAACTGTGCTAAAGGTCTTAAGTACTGTGCAAGGCCGTAGGCCTAAGGCGGTGCTCAAGACAGAGGGCACAGTTTTTCCCAATGAATATGGACTGACCAAGGCTGGTGAGTAACATTCTTATTTTTTTAAAAAAAAACTTAAAATTTTTGCCAAAAAAACCCAATTGATTTAGGGCTGTAATAACGGTAAGATCTTCTTCTGAGCGAGAAGATAGTAGAGAAAACACAGATGCTGCAAATTAAGAGCTAAGCCTCACCAAAACGTTTTTAATTGCGTAATGAGAATGGTGATTTAAAAGGCTTCAAAACAAATTTTAAAACATTTTTTTACAAGTCTCTAATCTTAATTACTGTTTTTATATCTTCTTTATCAATTACAGTACAAGTTAACAGTACCAAAAATGGGTAATGTTGCTGATTTACTGGATGTTTTATCAAAAGAAGCCAATATTCAGAAAGATAAGGTAGTATCTGTTTGAATGCCATTTGTTTCTCCAACATGTCAATTCGCCAACGAACAGTTTGTCAACGTCTAACTCTTTATGGTGGTCAATTTACAATTTCAACTTAGTTGATATAACCAAACATCTAATGTCAGTTCGCCAATGCTTATATGTCAGTTCACCAGCATCCAAAATAATTGTAATTACAAATGACCAGAGGAATAAAACTTTACTTTTGATGTATTCACAGGTGTTCATAGGTTATTGTTTGAAATTGTTTGTATCACTCCCCCCCGATCTCTCATTTCCTCAATGGCCAAACATATTTGAAAAAGACTTGGAAAGCCATTCAAGGCTTTTACCCAGTAGAGTATCAACCTGCTCTAAAACCTTTTAGTCAACATTTGTGTTGACTAGCTATCAACTCCAAATATATTTGTTTGATTATGGGAAAGAAGTGGTGTTTGTTATTCACACGTAGAATTCGCATTAAGCAATAAGGTCAAACAAAGTCCATTGATTGATTGACAGCAGATCATGTTTGAAAACTTTGAAAACCATCCACTGCTTTTACCCAGTAGAGTATGAACCTCCTGTAAAACCTTTTTATTACACATTTGCATTGTTAAATAGCTATTGACTCCAAATATATTCATTTGATTACATGAAAGAAGTGTAGTTTGTTATTCACATGTTGAACTCGCGTAGCAACAAAGTCAAACAAACTCCAAATATTTAACAAATGTTTAAAAAGGTTTTACAGTAATGTAGTTTCATACTCTACTTGGTAAAAGCCTTAGATTGTTTTCCATGAGAGATTATTTTGGATGTTGGGGAAATGACATATAATTGTTGGCGAACTGACATCAGACTTTGGAAAAGTGACCTCATACCTTGGCAAACAGTTCATTGGCAAAATGACAGGTTACCATCTGTTACTTTCAACACTATATACATGTAGATTTAACCAAGACTAAGTGGAGTGCAGTCCAATGACTGATGTCAGAGGCCCATTCAGGAGTGAGGGCTTGCATGACCTTATTTGCCTAATGATAGTACAAGTTGTTGTGTTTGTGTGAGAATAAAGAACAAAGTGATCTTTCTGACTATATATGAGGTTTTGTGACAGAGGGGACAATACTTCAGAATGATAAGCATTTTTTTTAGTGTAAGTTAGTGCTGTTCAATAAAAGATTCTGGTATAAATCATAAAATTTTCAAAATTTTCAACACACAGCCTCGCAATTTACTGGTTGTATATTCTAGTAAACAACAATTCAAGTATGGTTATTCAGCTAATTATGCTGAATCTATTACATGGCCTTGTACATGCTAGAAATTTGTTCATTTTAATCTTCTTATCAGTAAATTAACAATTATTGAATAAAGCTTTGGTCTCAAAATATTTTTAGTCATTTTGCCTTGTCTTTTAGTCAAAGTTTACTTGGCAAACCCGACACAATAATAAAACTCTTTCTTCAAGTACAAGTTGTCTGCTATGTTTTAAAAGAGTTGGTTCATACTTTTAGCTGTGCATATATGAAGTTATGGATGCACTTTGGAAGTTTGGAGAGCACTTAAGAAGCTAGAGATCTCTCAGCTGCACCCCAAGGAACTCTTATGCTTCTTTCATGCTCTCCAAACTTCTCATGTGTATCTATAACTTGAAGTAAGCCTGCCAAGCATGACCTAATTCTTTATTAATAAATGAATCTTTCGTTTCCTGCAGATGGTAGTAACTGATGTATACAATCACAGGTTTCACAAGGTGTTTTCTCTTAGTGAGTCGCTGACTCAAATCCTGGACAGGGATGACATTTTCATGTTAGTGATAATAAAGAAATTTATTGATTGTATCCAGGGAAAATAAATGAGTAATATTTACTTACCATGTGTAACAACTGTAGCAACCTGGGGAGCCACTATAAACACCTTACTACAAGTAGATAAGGGTTTCGAGCATTGAGAGACAAAACCAAAGTTATCACAATGACTGTTCAGAGCAAGAGCAAGATCTGATGAGAATTTGATAACACCAAATTCCACATAAGTGGCTCTTATGCTGTTTGTGCTTTTTCTAATGTACTACTGTATTGAATGTTCATGTTTGATTTGTTTTTACCAAGATATTCTTTTATGAATTGGATTTTCTCTGTGACATTGTATGTATGGATGAACTTTTTGATACAAAAGTGAGTGTTGTTTTAAGAGCATATTTTTCATTTTGTCAGTTATGAACTGCAGCACAGCAAATGTGAGAGTGATGAAGATGATTTTATTGTACTTCCAATTTACCAAAGAGAAAAAAGGTAACTGTTTTGCTGAAACATTTCATACAGTTTGAAATCATTTAGTTCTGGTCTGCCCTGTATGCACACTTAAGTGTACTGATTTATTATGGTGACAATTCATACATGGAAACTGAAGTCACGAGGAAGTTGGAAATATAAATATAAACTGTTAGTATAGACAATCACAACATTTTGAGTGCAATTTAGGATAAATCAGCACAAGTAAATTTTTCAAAGGCTAACCAAATTGTACAAGCTTACAAGGCAAGTGTAATTTTTAGTCTTTGAAAAATTTACTTGTGCTGATTTACCCCAAATTACACAAGAAAAATTATGGGATTACTAGTTAATAATACACAAGCAAAATTGTAATTCTGTTTTCCTTTGTAGTTGTTTTTATTTTGTGTCATGGCTCACTGGTGCAACTGCTTGCTTTTGCCTTGTTGCCATTATGCTAGTGGTTAGGCTTTTTCCTGTCCTCTGGTTCATACTTTCACAGCAATGTTTGGAAGCCAGACGTTTAGCCAGTTGTTTTCCTCAATTGTTGTCTTTGGTTCTGTTTTTTTGGTGGTTATGCAACTTACCTGTCAGTCAATTTAATTTCAACTTTCTGCACTCAATTTTAACTTTCCATACTGTTTGGAAGTCCCACTGCATTTCTCCTTGGCCCCATGCTTATCTTCCTGCATTAGACCACTCTGTAGAGGCTATGTAAATCCGTCAGGGACACAACTAAGTTTTGAATGCGTACCAATCTTCTTTTATTTCACGGTGATATACTCGAAGGAGTACACGGTTCCTAAAAGGTAAAAGGAATTTGAAACAAATGATGCAATGGAGAAAGGAAATGCTGAATTAAAAACGAACCAAACAATAGGAATAGTACTTACAAAACACGTTTTGCCCCGATAAAACGTAGAACACACCAGGAAACTTGAACTAACTCAACTTACTCAAGGTCGTCACTAAAAATGGCAACCATAACACATGGCTTACTTGCGGCGGGCTGGGCCCTAAACTAGCGCGTGAAAACTGTCAGGTGCAACGACAAACTTGAGCTTACACACTCTACCCTAAGTGCTGATTTGCTCTGACAAGGAGCAACATATTTCAGGAGTATTTCATGCCTGTTGGTAAGGTATCAATCTAGTTCTCTTCTTTTACTTGGCACTCAGTGTTCAAAACTAACTAATCTCCCCTCCTTAAGGGAGGGGCATGTATAGCTGAGTTGAATTGACTTCTGGAATGGAGGTCTGATCCAGCTCATCTATATCACTCCTATTTTCAATCAGCATCTGCCACACTGTACTTTACAACAGCCACAGCTTAGCCACATGCTGTAATCATATTATTATCATTTTTATTTTTATTATTATTTTATGTTGTTATTGTCATCATAATCATCATCATCATGGTCATCATCATCATCATCTTTATTAATGGAAGTAGTGGTAAAAGTATGGACATGCTAAGTGCTTCTTTTAACCAATCAATTTTCCTGATGATGACTCATTGTTTCAAGTTTAAGTTTTATTTACCAATTAAACTAGCTCTTCATTACTTTACATTGTATTTCAGAGCAAGACTGACCAGTTATAGCTACAGCAGTTCAAACAAGGCTTTGTTTGGACTTCCTCTTATGGTTTCTGTTCCAAGAAAAAATCTTACTTACCAGGCATTGTATGGCATCCTATTGGATAGGATGAAGTAAGTATGTCTTGTACTAGTTTGGGGAAATTTCACCAAACTCTTTATATAAATATGGGCAGAGTAGAAGGTTTTTTCTTCCATTGGACCAGCTGTAGGTTGATGACACAAAATAGGCCTAAATTTTTTCACAAATCCCAGTAAATAACTTTTTTTTCATCTGGAATCAAGACAGAAATCCCATAGTGCATTGATCTGTAACCTATTTATGTTCATTTGTTTACGACTAAGGAACAAGATATTTTGTTGATTGTGCGAAAGGTAGGTATGTTACTAAAAAAAGATCATACTTTAGAATGTGTTTGATTGAGTACTTCCTTTTATTTAGACGCTTCATCACCTTGCCTAATGGGAACATGGGAAAAGATGAATATGAGGCTGGTGAGTTAGATTTAAGTGTGCTTGACAGAAATTTGAGATTCCTATCAGTTGAAAGCAATATTTTAAATAAATTGCTTTTGTTCTTTTGTAACACCTAATTAACCAACAATTTTCCAACAAAAGGAATTCTTTAGAAACTTGGCTATTACCTGTTGCTGATTAGTTTTAATTACAACTAATAAACAATATCGGTTAAAGAGTCACTTCCGTTTATGCTCCAAAATTTTAAGTATCATAAAGTGACATGTTTATTTCCTTCACCCTGAGACAGTGATGAGCATGAAAGGAGAAAACTGATAATTCAATGAAATAAAATAATCAACAATAGCTAAAGGCCAAATTTCTATATAATTCCTTCTGTTGGAAAATTGTTGGTTAATTAGGTGTTACAAAAGAATAAAAGCAATATTTGAATAACTATCTGGCCTCTAAGATAAGTTACAATTGCATACACCATACTGAAATCTCCATGCTGCAAAGCACTGTGAACTTATTTGATTAATTTTATGGTATTTTGTAATAAAATTTACAAGCACTGTATGACTTTTGCACAGTACAACTGAAAAGGTACATGTTAAGGTTACATGTAGTTAAAACTAGGGAATAATTTAACCCTTACTCCAGAGTAACCACAAAGCAGGGTTGTACCTAAGAAAGTTGCCTGCTGGTTGAGAAAGCCATTCATTCATAAGCTAAAACCCTGCAAAAGAAAATTATTAAACTTTACTAAGTGCAACAACTAAGAGACCAAGAAGCAATAACCATACCTAGATTCAACACTAGATTGTTAAAGGACTCTTTAGCATATAGAGGTTCGGTGCTATGGAACTATGTTAACCATCATGTCAAAAATGTAGGTAGTTTTGCCCTTAAGAATCTTAGGAGGCTACTCAGGAGAAACAATCACTTCACAAGCTTTACTTTTACAAGTTTATCAGGTTTAAGGGCTAGGAATAGATTAACTGATTACGAGTATTTTTAAGTTGAGAGGAAAATTGAATGTTTTACTGTATTATAGTTTCTTATTTAGTTTGAAATGTGTCTTAGTATAATCAATAGTTGGATAGATACTATTTTTGTTAAGTACATGACCCCACAAGCTTTTTAGCTTTAATTCTTATCGTGTATAAATAAAGATTCTATTCTATTCTATTCTAACACACTGATACAGACAACATTTTAAATTAGTTCTTGGCTTTTGTTTCATAGATGTGGAAATGAATGAGGACAAAAGTGAAGACAGGGAAACAGGGGATTGTGAGGACACAGAATTGGAAAAGGCTTACCAAAATGTACATGTCAATGTGCGTTGTTAGACAATTTTTTTATGTTATTGATAAATAAATATCTATTATAATAGTGTTTTTGACAATTATCCTGCTATTTATTTCACAATCCCTTTCATGTACATCTAGTAATCCTTTTACTGGTTAGAGACATCTTCCATTTTTGTGGTTTATTTTGGACACTCCATATTTCATCTGTAGGGTGATGATAATGAAGATGATAACAAAAAGTCACAAAGTGGAGATTCTGGTGACTTACATCAAAATAATGACATCGAAACACAAGTTAAAGGAAAGGCAAGAAAGTCTCTCTTTAACATGGTACTAGTTAATTCATATGGCAGTGCTGATATCCAGGTCTTAGAAGATGATGGCAAGCCTCCGAAACTCACAGGTAATAGCAATTGTTTCACGGCAGTTTCAGGTGAATCTAGTCAGTAGCACAGGATGAAAGCGCTTTATCACATGTCTCGCAATAGGTTTCGATGTCGACTATCACTTAAATTTGAAGTCGTAATTATGGCCAATGATTTTGCTCTTTACATCATTATTAAATTTTTACCACCCTAAGTTGACATCACTGCCCTGATTAGTACACCATTAAAGTGACAGTAATCTATATTGTACATACATACATACATACATACATCACCTTTATTTTACCTCGGATATACAAGAGTAGCTGTATAGCTAATTTCTCCGAGAAAGAGAAAAAGAAAAAATTAAGTAAATAAATAAATAAGTAAATAAAATATATAAAAACAAATAGAATCGTCTATTATATACAGTACTTTACACTACTATTTACGTAAGTAACAATTGCATTTATGTATATGAGAACGATCCTTCGCAGTAAAGCACTATTTGAGCAATAGTGAAAATCAGACCTGAAAAAAATTTCAGGCCTGTACGGGATTCGAACCACTGACCTCTGCGATACTAGTGCAGCGCTCTACCAATTGAGCTAACAAGCCAACTGGGAGCAGGCCATCAAATTAATTCGATATAAACCCGTGGATGATAAATCAAACAACAACAAACATATGAAACATATGTGTGAACTGCGGTTATGAGACGTATATGAGAACGATCCTTCGCAGTAAAGCACTATTTGAGCAATAGTGAAAATCAGACCTTGTTAGCTCAATTGGTAGAGCGCTGCACTAGTATCGCAGAGGTCAGTGGTTCGAATCCCGTACAGGCCTGAAATTTTTTTCAGGTCTGATTTTCACTATTGCTCAAATAGTGCTTTACTGCGAAGGATCGTTCTCATATACGTCTCATAACCGCAGTTCACACATATGTTTCATATGTTTGTTGTTAATTGCATTTATGTTCAAAGGAAATTTAATGTTCGAAAGAAATTTGACATATTTTAGTTCTAAACTCTTTCAACGACGTCAATGACCTCAGGTCCTCTGTTAGTTTGTTCCACATGTTTGCAGAATTGTATCTGAAGGAGTGAAGACCATAAGTGGTTGTATTGACATATGGGATAACAAGTTTCCTTGATCCTCTTAGGTTGTATTCAGTACTCCTCATTTGAAAAAGACCTCGTATGTACTTCGGCATCGTTTCGAACTGAATTGTCTTAAGAACTATTTTCATCATGTCTTGGCACCTACTACTATACAGAACACTAGAATTAATTTTGCTCAGTAGCACCTGGTAGTGCAGAGACTTCTCATCCAGAACAATCTTGAGCGCCCTTTTTTTCAGATGCTCTAATTTATTTTCATTTCGAGCCCCGGAAAAGTGCCAAACTGCTGAGCAATATCTAAAACATGGAACAATAAAGGCCTCGTAAAGTTTACATTTCACATCCGTCGGTACTATTTTTCGAAAACGGGAAATTACATTAATTTGATTGTCAATGTCTCTCTGACTTAAGACAGATGAAAAACTCCCATTATCATTTTTATCATCTATAATAGCTAATTGGTCTGGTCGACAGTTTTTGCCAAAGATGTTGAAGATGTGCGGAAATCTGATACTGGTGTGGATGTAACACACTCATGAGTTTGTCACGCAAGGCTAAACCTATTGCAATGGCAACTAACTAGCTTCCTGCTCCCTTCTTGGAATTTCTTGGCAGGAACATCCGTCAATAATACTTTTAACTAACTTGTTCTTATGATGATATAGAGTATGTTATCTTTACAGAATGAATCCACTAAAAGGCAGAGATAACTTTTGATACTTACATCACAAGTACCAATTGCAATAAATAATATCTGAAAATTTTTGGCAAGTTTTTATTTGAAATAATTTTCTTATCAGAAAGTCATTGCTGTGAGACTTGTTAGCTTCGCAGCAGTGATTTAATGTAGAGTTGAATTGATGCTGGTGAACGTAAAAGTGACGTTACTTGGAAGTGCCAGTAGGCAGACTACAAATGAAACAAATAAAAGGGAAAAAGAAAGAGACGAAAAATCAGAAAAGGAAGATTAGGGAAAGAATCAAAGGCCAAGTATTTCTACTTGACTGAGGTTTTCCAAGGGTATAAGTCGGGAACGTTCTTCCCAAATTGAGAGTCTTGGCTACAAAACTCTCAAGAATGGAAATCAAACTTGTTTGCAGGATAAAACAACTAACAACAAACATATGAAACATATGTGTGAACTGCGGTTATGAGACGTATATGAGAACGATCCTTCGCAGTAAAGCACTATTTGAGCAATAGTGAAAATCAGACCTGAAAAAAAATTCAGGCCTGTACGGGATTCGAACCACTGACCTCTGCGATACTAGTGCAGCGCTCTACCAATTGAGCTAACAAGCCAACTGGGAGCAGGCCATCAAATTAATTCGACATAAACCCGTAGATATAAATCAAACAACAAACATATGAAATACATATATATGAACTGCGGTTATGAAACGTATATGTGCACGATCCTTCGCAGTATAGCACTATTTAAGCAATAGTGAAAATCAGACCTGAAAAAAAATTCAGGCCTGTACGGGATTCGAACCACTGACCTCTGCGATACTAATCCCGTACAGGCCTGAATTTTTTTCAGGTCTGATTTTCACTATTGCTTAAATAGTGCTTTACTGCGAAGGATCGTGCACATATACATAAAACAACTAAGTGGAGAAACTGGTGATGCTTTTCAAACTTCAGCTATTGTTGTGCCTTAAAGTCATTTCTAAACACCTAAAGTCTGTCGCAAAAATGGTTTGATGCTAAAGTAGAATTAATTTTAGCTTGAGCGCCAATTCTTAACGCACCTTCTCGCAACTGGACTTGACCACCTGTTCTGGGCATCGCTGTTCTTTAGCCTTTGGACGGGAGATAGGGTCACAAAGATGCCGTGCATTCTAGAAGAGTTATCCAGCCATGCTTAAGGAAAACACTACAAATATATTACAAATATAAAACTGTTGAGCGTATGTACAAGTTTTCAACGTAAGAATATTTATGTTGACGTTGCCGAAGCGGTAGATTGATTTATTAGTGTTACTATATCAATAGACATTTTCTTTGAAATATTCCAAGAAACGGTCAAAAGAGTTATGCTGTCTGAAGACAACTCCACAAACAAACAAACCCGACTACTTTATTAAAATATTCTTACTTAGCAGCGACTCCAATAGATACAAGAGCAATAATTCCCAATGACTTAGTTAGGCCTTCTACAACTATATCTTAGCTCACCTCCGACACAGTCTCGCCTAGAACACAGTTTTCTCCAAAGTTCCTTGAAATGAATAGTCTAGCTTTCCAAACAGTCGGTCACTCCCAACAACTGTAACTGTTACTACTACTCGACGATCAAGTCTTTATGTATATTTACAAGGTACTCCAGAACATTCCAGACCAGAAGCATACATATACAACATAACTATTTTGGTAGTGTTACATAAGAACAATAAAGCCCAACAGAATGTTGTAGAAAGTCCCATAGAAAGTTTATGCATGTAAGTCAGCAGGACAAGGCATTCTTGAAATCTCTACTTGTTTTCAGTCACTCTTCATAACAATGTATACAGTCACAAAGAAAGTTTTGAATTAACTTGATGCAGTTGATTGTTAAGTGTGGGTTGCTCCGAATGAATGTGAATAGCTTCTTTGATTTCAAGCTGTAAGGTGCTAGAAGCGTGATCTAAGATGCTGAAATAATCATTAGAACAAAAAGTGCGGCATTGCTGAGAATTTTGTAAAGGTCTGAAGATGTGACAGTTCTTATCACTAACATTGTGCTCACGCACGCGTGTGGAAATATGCCGACTGGTTTGGCTGACAAAGCAGGCATTGCAGCCTTCATAGAATGAGCATTCTGTGTACACTATATATTAAACTTTCTATAATACCGGTCAATACCAGATAGTCTTTTTAGTCTATCTGATCCAATATTTTGCATTTCAAATAAAGCTAAGAGATATGTGTAAATTAGATCTGAAGATGACAGAAGAACTGTTGAAACATGTGTTCTTTTTTAAATTAAAATTGTTGTGTGTTATCTTGAAATCTTAATGGTTGATACGTTTTAATTTTGATTAAAAGCACGTTGTTTTCTTGCACTGGACTGGGACTCAGAGATGAAGGAGAGCTGCTACAATGATCAACTTGCTGAGGTTATTTATAGCTATTCATAAAAATTATAGTTGTAGAATTGTTTTAATAGAAACTAATCGCATTCTCAGGACATTTTCTCTTTATGGCCAAGAGGGCATAGATATTTCTTTTTAAACCTCCTTTTTTCTCTTATTTTTCACACCTTAACTCAAAAGAAGTTTTTATTAATAGTTTTAGAAATTACAATAGAGCAGAATGGAAAATTGACTTTTTATAGGAATGGGTCTTTGATTTGGGGTGGACCGTGGATGTTGCAAGTGGCCTTTTCTTCAGTATTTTGTTTCCTCCTATGACTCATTGTTTAATGTGAAGAAACGACTTTCTCAGGAATCTGAGGAGCATCAAAGTGTGTACAAGAAGCCAGCATCAAAGAAAAACTCCATTGCTTTGAATGACTGCATTGACCTCTTTTTGTCTAAAGAAAAACTTGGAGCAAACGACCCATGGTAAGCTCAAGCCTTTTTTTTTCTGATGTTCCCTGTTGTGATATATCACTTGATGTAGATACCAGAATTTTCGGTCATTGAGAGGTCTATTTTATTCATATGACTAGTCTGTTAAGTCACCAAATCCTACAAGTGACCAGTTTGAATAACCGATTTGTTGTCAAAGTACTGTTTTGGAAACTCACTCTTAAGGATCCGCTGACACAATTTGGTTTTCGACCAAAATAGACACTGCTAACACTTCCCGTAAGCCTTCACGTTTCCCCATAATCGAATTGTTTGCACAATGAGAGAGACTTAATTGTGCTTCTACGAGCGTAGTGGTTCCATGCCTTAACCAAATACATCCATTAGAGAGCAACAAAGCTGTTGCTGAACAATAAAATTATAACTTCTTTTGTTCAGAGACCATCATAGCTTTTAATGTTCCTACAGAAAGCTGAATCAGCCAAGTGTTAGTGTGTTACACACACAATGGCAAAACCAAACCCATTTTCATCTTCGTTTCCACAAAGCTGAAATAAATTGTTTCCTAATGAAATGTAAATCCTCAAACTTCAAGTGACAATCCTGTGTTATCACATTATACCTCTTGTGAAGGTGTAGTCTGATCGTCCGGGTGAGTGTAGTCCTGAGAAGGACTGTTGTCGGTGGTAGTGACTGACGTTTCGACAACCTGTGCGGAAGTCATCATCAGAGTCAAGTGAATGATCGTTGTCAGTAGAATGTTCTTATTCCAGTTCGTGTGAAATGATCGGTTGGTTTTGCCGTGATGTTATTGGCTGTAAGACTCAAGTGACGTAAGTCGGTCGTGATTGGTCTGTTTCGATCTGTCGGTAAAGTTAGGTCGTTCTTTTTCGGTCGTTTGTGATGTTTATGTCGTGAATGAGTCGTTTGTATGGAGCGGGTAGTTGTTGACATCTGTTTAGGGGAGTCTGTTCTAAGTTAGTAAACCAGCTTTCCAGAGTCAGTCGTTGAAAATAGTCAGTGCTGTAGGTTAGGCATTGCGCAGAGTCCCAGTCAATGTTGTGGTTGGTAAGTCGATGGTGTTCAGCAATGTGATTGCTGACATCACCTTTCCTCGTCGCCCGTCTGTGTTCAGTCAGTCTTGTTGTGAGGTTTCTGCCAGTCTCACCGATGTAGGAGGCTTGGCAGTCGGAATAATTGATCTTATAAATCGTTCCCTGTCTGTTCCTCGGTTCGTCTTTGTCTTTAACGTTGGTTAGTAACTGACGTAGTGTGGTGATGGGTTTGTGGGCGACGCGGATATTGAAGGGTAGTAAGATGTGCGAGATGTTTTCAGACATGCCTTTTATGTACTGTATGGTTGCTGTAGTCGTAGGGGTTGCGGTGTCGTTTGTTTCGGTAGTGGTAGTGGGTCGGTGAGTGTTTCGTCGGATGAAGTCGTTGTTGTAGTTGTTCTTCGTAAAAACACGGTGAAGGTATTTGTTCTCGTCGGATAAGCTGTCTGTCGAGTCGCATACTAGTTGTGCGCGTCGTGTTAGAGTTCTGATAGTTGTGGCTTTGTGTGGTGTAGGGTTGTAGGATGACTCGTCTAGTAATCTGCCATGGGGTCTCCAGTTTCTGTTGTTATAGCAGAAATTGTGATGCAGAACATCGAGGAACGCGCCCTTTCGACTTGCCGACAAACGATACCGCTTTGGTTACGTTACGTTGACGACACCTTCACCGCCGTTCGACACGACGAAATTGACGCATTCCACCGCCACCTTAATGAACAAAACACTGACATACAGTTTACCAGAGAAGTCGAAGAAAGTGGCAAACTTCCTTTTCTAGACTGCCTGGTAAGCCACAACAACAACTCATTACGGACGACAGTTTACAGGAAACCGACACACACCGACAGATTACTAGACGAGTCATCCTACAACCCTACATCACACAACGCCACAACTATCAGAACTCTAACACGACGCGCACAACTAGTATGCGACGATCAGACTACACCTTCACATGTTACCCACGGGTTCAAACCATTTACTGCATTATACCTCTTTGTGTAAATTGAATCTGAAGTCCATTAATTGATGGATTAAAATTTAACCATGATCAAACTTTTTTCCTATCGGTCGTCAAGTTACAACACTCAATTGAAACAACAATGTTCTACACCTTGTAGGTACTGCCCATCCTGCAAGAAGCATCAACAAGCCACCAAAAAGTTTGACCTTTGGTCTCTTCCCCAAATCCTTGTTGTTCACTTGAAACGATTCTCGTACAACAGGTTTGTAGATTTTACCTTGTACTTTAACAAGGTGTTCATTTTGAAAAGTTGAAATCAATGAACTACAAGTCCTGCATACCACATGGATCAGTGAGTAAATATAACATGAAAGATTGACAATGAAATAATGGAAGAGGCATTAGCCTTGTTACAAATTCCACTTACTTACATGACTTTTGCTGCATTGATGGTCATAGCAGTATACGGATGCTAGTCAAATTTAAACGAGTATTAGCTTAGGTCACCATAAGAACATTGGAGCGTGGAATCCTAACATTGGAGATTCACTTTACATGGGTACTCAAAACTTTCCCGTTGTCTCACGCCAGTGACATGACTGAAAAAACATCTTTTTTTTAAGATAAGCAGGGTAACTTATGGCTGTCATCGACATTCTGAAACATATTTTTGTGAAAGCCAGAATTGTTTTCTAGTGTTAAGTAACCAGCTTAAGTTTTGCATTATTAGTTTTCTCTTCTTAGACTTAGTAATGGTTCTCATATAGTTTTTTTTCTCTATCTTTGTAAAGTTTTTGGCGGGATAAACTTGATGCAGTGGTCTGTTTTCCTTTGAGGTGAGTGTTGTAGTTTAGCTTTTAATAGAACTGAAACTACTGCCTAATTATAAGAATATGAAGTTATACTCAGAAATCAAACAATACTTTGGGTCGGTTTGGAGTAGATGGAAAGGAGGAAATGAAATTAGCTTTCAAACAAAGTACAAAAGGGATGGATGAGAAAAGCTTTATCCCCTCGTGCAGTTTCCTATTGTGTTACCTACCCTCCAGAGTGTATCAACATATTTTGCCTGTTTCCTTTTTCCTTCCTTTCACAAAGCTTAAGTGGCTTTTCAACGCAACTGATAACAGACAAAATAACCTGGTCTTGAGTAGGACGCCACTAGCAGAAGTTGAAAATCACGCAGAGAATTACAAAAATAGGTCTGCAGTACATGCACTTGCATGCATAAAGTAAATTTCACATAATTTTGCAAAAGCAGGCATAAAGTAAATTTCACATAATTTTGCAAAAGCATTTTTCCCACCAATGTGATGGTAAGCGATATTTCAGGGCTCCTGAAATAAATTGATGGCGAATCTTTCATAGCTCTATGTCTAGTTCTCACTTTTCTTTTTTCTTCCACTATCATAAACATTTTTGGCCCGTGGTGTATGAATTTAAAGCTTAGTGGCTACTCAGAGATGTTCAAATGATTTGGCAAATACGTCTTGTCAGTTGGCTTAAGTGATTATTCAAAGTGCTCCATAGTAGATCTCTCTTAGATCTCTGTCGTCTCTTTTCTTTTCTTCTTCCAAGTATATACTTGTCACAGAAACATTTTCTGGCACATGGTTTATAAATGGAATTTAAATTTGAATGGCAACACAAAATGATGGGGATGATTAGGTATATACACTGAAAGTGAAACTTCAAGTGAGTAGTTGCAGAAGTGTAACTAGAACGGATGTTCAAGTTGGCTGCATTCTACATTTGACAAAGTTTGATCAGCAGTGATGGTTATTATACTTAAAGGTGTAATAAAATTTCATGTTCTCGGTGAAGCAATCAACGTCATGGTTGATTTCTTATTCCTTCACAGTCTACATTGTGTAAATTGAACCTTTTCCTCGTTCCCTTTTTTAGTTTATTTGACCAATGATTTCTACCAAACTGTCAAACTAACAAACAAATATTCGAAACAAAAATCAAAAAGCGCCCACACAATAGTGGTTTCGAATTCAAATAGTGGACACGAGGAAGGACAAACTGGAACTTAGAACGGTATGCTTGGGTAAACCTTATGCATGCTTTGTTAGCACAAGTCAGAAGACCTTAGTTAATTTGCAAGCTGTGTTGGACAGTTTCACTCAACTTTTGCCTCCATTTTTATCGTAGCCTACAAATAAATCATGCAAGACCATTTCTGGAAAATCTATAGGAAGACCCTCTCATCGAATTTAATAGTGTATATCACCGTAATAATTGTTTCGCACTCCAGGGGACTCAAGGAACTAAACATCATTAGTTACACAGATTTGACTATTTACAAAATAAGAAATTGCTTTAGTTTAAGCTTTTGTATTGTTCGTTGAATGTGATTATTTAAAGCGTTCTTGGTTGAAAATTATGTTGTTTTGATAAATGGTACCAGGCCTTTTGGTCTAGCTTTGGCTATGCTAACTAAGACAAGTGCAGAAGCTCCATGCACTTGTCAGCTGATTTTATGAAATTTAACTTATAGCAAAAGGAAGGGGCAACTGGGAGAAGTCAAACGCCCCTATTTCCTTCAGAAAATGACGTTATCTACTGAGTAACTATATAGGTAATCCATCTCGTTGAAGAGTTTCGCGGGAGAAAAGAGCTAGGTTTTTCATTCATGGCCGGGAATTTTTATGCCGAAAAAATGGGAAACTATTGTTGCATCATTTTTTATTGCAACTGGTATTTTAATACCAGCTCTTGAAAGAGCTGCAGACAATAACTATCGAGAATCTGCCGACAGTTGCAAAATTGCGTAATTTATTTAATATTTCCTAAAGTACCCTTTTAACAAACCTTTTTCAAAAATGATACCGTAAAGTCCTATAGCGCTTTGCTTTCTCTGAAAAATCGAAAAGTTCAAAATACGCCTAGATGGCCGTTGTCTCCCCACCGCCCTTTAAAGCAATGAAAATTTATGTAACGTTGGCAACTTTGTAGGCCACAACGCTATGCGATTCTACATTTAAATTTTGTGTGATAGCAGATGGTCCTTTTTGAAAATATAAATTTTTCTTGTTATGTTATTACGTTTGAGTCTGAATGGTGATCCATTGAAATAATGTAATGTGTCTTTCGCAGAGGTAAAATAAAGGTCAACTTCAATTGCCTTTGAAGAGGTCTGCGATATACATTTACAAATCATTATATACATCATCTAAAAGCTTATCCTTGTAATTTAATTCCTCTAATTCTCTTTCTTGGCCCACCATAAGCAGCGCGTCCAGGTTGAAAAGAGTCTGCTATTATGACAAGAATCCAATGCAAATTGCTGAACAGCTGTCATGGCCTATTTAGGGGCCCATTTTGCAACTTTCGGTGGATTATCGATATTTAGGGTCAGTTGCTCTTAATATTATAATTAACACCATGGCAGTCATCATCATCATTAGGATTGTCATACTCAGTGTTGATGATGATAATGCTAACGATAGATTATTTTTCTGAACTGAATTCACTGAAAAATGTTTCCGGTGCTTCACAGCAGATAATTATTATTGAACACTATAGGTCAAAGTAACACTTTTACTCTCATGCTTTGTTTTCAGAAATCTTGATATGTCTGCTTATGTGATTAATAAAGACCAACCGCATCCAATCTATGATTTGATTGCAGTTTCAGTAAGTATTCTGCCATTAGGAGAGAAGTACGAAGGAAGCTTTAAAATTAAGAGAGGACAGCCACATTCCCCCCCAGTTTATTCGTTGTTTCATCGTCTAATTTCCTGGTTGAAAAACTGACGCAGCGTGATAATGAGTGAGTCATCATAAAATGCACTATTGAATGACTTTGGTTACTGATTTGAATATGTGACCACGTAACAAGCGCAAAAGCTTTTGAAACCTCCATGTGAAATGCGTTTGTTGTTTTTCAATCAGAGACACAAATGAGTCTTGCAAATTTACGAAGCACATGGAACAAAATCATCAGACAAATTCAGTAAAGCATTTTGATTGGACGGCGAAACACGTTAAACAGTTGGACAACATTCAAGCTGCTTAGAACTCTCCTTCTTGCTTTACTGCTCTATCTGTCCAACAGGTTGCACACTTTCAGGTAGCCGTCTGTGATCTTCTTTGACGCTATAAAAGATAAAAAAATACAAAATTCAAAGATCAAAAATGAAAGATGTAAACAACTCTACCTGTGCAAAATCGTTTGTTTTTCTTTCAGACTTCAAGATTGACGAAATAAAATAGAATGTTCTGATTGGTCATTTGAAGTGACTAGAGAACATGATAGCGTACCATTTTCCAAAGACAAAGGAACTTAGATAAAGTTTGGAAATCTCAAGACGTAGAGAAAAGTTTATGTTTTCCATATTGACATTTTGCTCTAACTTTCGCCGTAAAAGCCGTTTAACTTATACACAGTTGGAAATTTTACCTTACCTTACATTTTGCTCTAACTTTCTTCGCCTTAAGAGTTTAACCTACACACAGATGGGAATTTTACCTTTGCAAAATTAAATGTTACTCAGAACAAACAGAGGAGCATATTTAGAGGGAAGGTAACGTGCTGTAAGTCTCAAAAGATCTAAAATTTTTATTAAGTTTTTTTTTCTTCACAGAACCACTATGGAGGCATGGGAGGCGGACATTGTAGGTTGACTCTCGTTTTTGCTAGGCCACAAGTTCAATCAGTGAAAGTAGATTTCAAATTGTACTAACTAAGGTAATGTGCATGCTTACCACTTTTAGACACAGCCTATGCCAAGAACTGCAAAGACTCTCAGTGGTACTCATTTGATGATAGCTCTGTCTCGGCTGTAAATCAGGAACAAGTTACTGTAAGTTCCTGCTGAATTATTCTGACTTTGATCACACCGAAAGTGCAATGTTGATTGAATTGTAACCAGACAATCATGAGTTCAGTGTTAAGAAACACTGTTTTCACTGCTTTGTTAGTGTTTTGAAATGCACTTAGTAATGGACCATATCTATCCTGAGGTGATCATCTCTGTAAATCAGTGACTGCACTCCTTACGGGACTGAACCTCCATAGGGTTCTGTAGAGATATGCATGCCATGGGGTCATGGCATCTGTAGGCACCAGGATTACCTTTAATGGCCTTTGTCCGTGCTTTGTGATTTTTGCAGGATTAGGTTGCATCTGTGGAAGTCTAGTTCAGGTTTATTTTCTGCATTGGTTAAGACTAGATGTGGGCAGTGTAGCTCCATCACAATCCACTTTAACTGCTTCTCTCACTTCGCTTCCTTTTTCTTTTTCATACCTTGTTTGTTCAAATCGTTTGCTTTCGATGGTTAAAAAATTATACACATGAAGACATTTGTGACTACACCATTCTTTTTGTTCTTTTCTCGTGTTCTTGTTGTTTTTATGTTCTCTTTTTTTGGTTGTGGATTGCAATTGCTAGTTTGCAGCGTGCGTTTTTTTCAAAACCAATAACTCCTCCAGCCAGAAAGCTGTCTCTCGACTCTTCCAAAATATCCTTGGTTAAAATTTTTTCTTCCAAGTTTTCGACGGAATTTGAACCTATAACCCTCTCGACCCTGTGTAGGTCAATTTTACAGAGACATTTTCTCAAGCTTCTACGATGCAATTCAGTTTCGCGTTTATATCCGTATAGAATTTGCTCATTTACTCTCGATACATTTTCAATATCAATATCTTTTAATGGGTTACTAGAATGTCATTTAAGATTGAGATTATAACCGTGTGATCCACTCTTGTTACTTTTGGTCAATTTTTGAGCATTTTAAGGTTATTAAAAAAATAGGGTGCCCTTCAGAAAATCATCCTACGCGCGCTACTTAAAAAAAAAAAACATTGAGAACTAGTTATCACTCTAAAGCTTAAAAAGTGTAGAATCAGTAGATAACAAAAGTTTTGACAGCTTTTATTTTGATAGGCGCGTGCATACCTTAAAAGACAAAACTATCTGTTATTTTTCTACCGAAGTACCAGCCTTTTCGTCACCACAGACACCCAGACAAACTAGACAGTATCACTCAGAAGATAATAGGCGAGAATTGTTGTGAGGCTTTTTCCATATTTCTTTTTGATCCTGAGAAAATCTAATTTGAAGTTGCGCGGGGTTTCTAGAAAATCTAATTTGAAGTTGGACTATGGAGAGTATTTTAGTTGTCATGTGCTGGGAAGTCACTGGAAAAATATTTTGAATTTCGTAAAAGCCTCACGCCTTTTTTTTTCTTTTTTTTTTTGCATTAATACCTGACAAATATTCTTGCCAAGTTGAATCAAAACCTGACGAAACTATATGCCTGTGACTTCTTTGGCCCAGGCTTTCCCTTCCATTTGCTACAAAGTACCTTTCTACTAGTTCATGTGGAATCTTATTTCTCATTGTTTAGGAAATGTGACAAATTCATTTCTTTTGCGCAGTGATGTAAACAAAATATGCAGTTTGAGATCCTGGACAAAAGTCCCCAAAATACGTCAACACTCCGCGAAGGACTTCACGATTATCAAACCTTTTACCCCTCGGTACCAGCCACCCTAAAACTCTCTTTGAACCGTATCTTTTTTGTTATTTTGCAGTCGAAAGCAGGCTATGTCCTTTTTTACCAGCGAAAAGAAACTGGACTTCAAGAGAGTTTGGTAGAAAAGGTAACAGAACATGATGGAGACATCGACATGCTTAATGATGGCCTCTAAGATTGGGAAAGGAAAAATGGAGTCACACGATAGGAATCATGCTTCACTTCCTAGTTGGCCAAGTTACCTCAAGAATAGTTTTAATAAAAATCCCGCAAGGGTTCTTAGAGATACGCCTCAATCAAAACCTAGCGCTTAGTTTACAACGTGTTAGTCCTACAAAAACTGCAATAGGCCAATTAAAGTGACAAAATCTACAAAACAAGGAAGCCAGTTGATATACAGACTGTCATTGTGTAAACTGTGGCACATGATGACCATTTATTTATGCGTTAAAATGAGTTTCTTCTGTTATAGGTGGAAGCCTTTTCTGTCCCTTTTTTCTTTTTTGGTCAGGTAGAAATCTCTTCTCTAGTGATGTAATTCAAGATCATGTGATCACTTTTAAGTGAGAAAAAAATTCATGTCTTGAACAGCATTTAAAAACTCTGTAATTGTGGAAAACTGTCCCACGATTATCCCTCAGAATACGGGAATCCTTTCAGGTCATGTTACGACATGTCATGAGAACATAGTTGTTTTAATGGAAAAAATTAAATTTGACAGGAATAAAATGGTCTACAAACAAAGTTGCAAGCAGTTTAAACAGTTGAACCATTCTTAATACATACCCTACTTCAACCAATAGGACCATTCTATCAAACCAGATCGTTAGACCAATTTCAGTGCCTGGACCATTTTATCTGGCCACACCATTTCAAGCGGTTGGACCATTTAAGGTTGCACCAGTTGGACCAAGTTATAACATTTCAAGTGATCGAACCATTTTATCTAATTTCAACCAATTAGCCCTTTTTACTATTTTAGTCGCTTCGACTATTTTAAACAGTTCGACCTTTCTCCAGATAGACCATTAAGGTAGTTCAACCATTTTCTCAGGTTCGTCAGTATTGCACTTGGCATCCTGTACTGCGCATGAAAATCCTGTAATCAGTTAGGGTGGTGTTTAGCTCTTTGGCACGAAACCTGTTACTCGAGGATGTAAATTATGACTGAAAGTGACAAGCAACGACTCTAGCACCGTTTTGAGTCAATGTCGTTTAAATTACATAATTTTTCCGCAAATTATGTATCCAGTTTCCGTAAATTATGTATCAAATTGACTCGACTTTTTCACCTATCGATTTTTTTTTCTTTTAACTTCAAAAGCCCTTGCTTCCAACTACAGCAAAATGTACCGTGAACCGATGAAATGTTGCGCAGGATTAGTGCCATTGCAGGCATAAGTTTGGTCCATCATATCTCTCAAACAAGCTCGAAGACCCATCTCTTTTATTGTAATTTTCGAAACAGTTATTGGACACATTTAAGGAAAGTTTAAAAGATGAAATTGTTCAATAACGTTTTCCTGCGGAATTAACTTTAGCCATAGGTCATTTTATCTAGTTGGACCTCAGTGGTTGGACCCTTTTTACTGGTTAAACCATTTTAAGTTGTTGGACCATTTTAAACCAATTGGACAATTTTCTCTGGTTAAACCACTTTAACCAGTTGGACCATTTCAACGACTTGGATCATTTTAAACTAGACCAATTCTTCTAGTAAGACCATTCTAACCTTTTGGACCCTTTTGACCAGTTGGATCATTTCATCCAGTTGAACCAATCTATCGATTAGACCACTTTAACCCGTTATGCAATTTTTACCAGTTGCACGATTTTAACCAGTTGGACCAATTCAACCACTTGGACCTTTAAAAAAGTTTGACCAGGTTAAAGAATTGGACCATTTCAACCAATGGGACCAATATTGACTAGTTGGTCCAATTTACCTAGTTGGACCATTTTAACTAGTGAGACCATTTTAACACAATGGACCAATTTCACCAGTTTGGCCATTTTAAGATATCAAGGAAAATTACTGTTTTCATTTCAAACGCGAAAATTACGCGCGCTATCCTTGTAAAAATATACATTTTCATAAAGCTTAGTAAATGCTGATTTCGGATATTTAATTTGATTTTATGAATTTTGTCATTGAACAGAAAGGGAGCTTATGCGTTCACCCCGAGACATTTTACAAGATAAGTTTAATTGACAACGCATTTCAATGAAATAATTTGGATATATCAACAAAGTTAAAGTGGTAAATTGGCCACCGTAACGATATTACAAAAGCTGACGTTTCGAGCGTTAGCCCTTCGTCGGAGCGAATAGAGGAATTGTGGGTTGTGTGTGCTTTTAAAGGCAGAGAATGGAGCTACGTTATTGGTGGGAACATGGCAACGAGAAAAACAAGAATAAATTAGTGGAATGAAAAGCGTTCGTTGATCCCTGTGGGATTTAGACTGCCGGTTTGAAAGATGAGCTTTTGTTCAAGATTTTTACGGCTTTCCGTGCTACCTAAGTGTAAGGAAAGACCGCAGATTGCCATATGTTGCTTAGAATGATTAGGTAAATTAAAATGTCTAGCGACTGGTTTCGATGTGTCCTTGTCATTCCTTTCCACGTCTCGAAGGTGTTCTCGGAATCGGTCACCTAGTCTTCTGCCTGTTTCGCCGATGTATATCTTTTTGCAATAAGTGTAAGTTATGCAATAGATTACATTGGCGGAGGTGCACGTGAAGTGATCGGTGATCTTAATGGATCGTTTAGGTCCCGATATTTTATCAGTGTTGTGAATGAAAGGACACGTTTTGCATCTTGCACGAGCGTATTTAAAAGTGCCTGGTTGGTCACGGTGGCCAATTTAGCATTTCAATGAAAAGGTTTTTTTTTGTTTTTTTTTTGACAGAACGTGACCTACGCACATTGAAATAAAAATGGGTCTGGGATTTGCATTTTAATGCATCGTAATAATTTTTTTTTAACTTTAAAGTAGCGCTTTTGAGAAGACTTTTCAATGTAGAGGCTACATATCACGGAATAAGGGAAAAATCGAAAATCCGGGATAATCTTTTGGGGCTCTCTATATTTCTGACATTATCTCCAAATCTCACGGAAACTGAGCGAATATCAACCGAGAATAAACTTTCCAAAGATCAAAACTCAAGCCAAAACAGTTTATCAGAAAAAACGACTTCAATTTTCGGGGCGTCAGTGTTTGTTTATATAAAACGGGTTTCCACATCACGCCTGTGACGGCTCTTTTTGCAAACACACTGGAGGAAGTCATTTGACAATGTTTTGCCTGTTGGCGCTGTTGCGTGCAAGAAAGCAAACTGATAAGAATTTTCCCCTTTTTCAGGGCGGCAAAAGGGACTTGTCACTCTAAGATATGATAACAGCTTGAAAACAACACTTGAATACGAAACAATTTTACCACATATCTAGTTTTCGGAAAGAACCAATGTAAATAGACTTGATAACCAATGAGAGATTTCAGGTCTGTACAAAACTGTACAGTGTGCATTGATAATCAAGAGAGGTTTTGAAATCGTTGATTAGGCGACTAGAAGAAGTTGACGTGAG